TTCCCAGTCGGACTTTAAAGATCACACACAGCGATTACGAGTGTTTTTGGATCAAGTTGCGCTCAAACTGCACGAGTATGAGCTTGGCGAAGACAACAAGACGTGAGTTTCTCCGTCGGACTGTGTAACGCTTTCTACGATTCACCAGGTACAGCGAAAGAAAAGATCATTCTTTTACGTGGTTGTGCTGCACAGGCAAAAGGTTTGGAATGGCCAGCAATAGTTTTAGCTCGTGCCAACGAGGGAGTGTTGCCAGTCTTCGACACAGATATGGTTTCTGATGCCCAAGACATTCTTGAAGAAGAGGTGAGGTTCCTCATTATCATTCTTGTGCACGCTCACTCGCTCTCTCCCTCCTGTACAGAGAAGGCTTTTGTATGTTACGCTTACTCGAGCGAAGACCTCCATCTTGGTAACAGATGATGAAATGTGGATTCTTTTCTCACAATCTCAGAAACTTTGCAGGTCACGTATCTTATGAAAGACAGCGGGCAGCAAGCTCTCGCTTCCTGGCAGAAATTCCACGGGGTAACTTCCGCGTTTTCTCGTTTCTATCTTTCCACAGCATTGTTTCGCAGGACTTGTCAAAAGGATTGTTAGCTACGATCACCAAGTGACCAACATCACAGCCACCACGAACACAATTGGAAGGAAGCGCGAGGAACGTGGATAGGCAGTGGACGCGAAGGCAAGTGTTAGAAGAAGCATTTTAATCTCCATCGGCATGTCAGCTTTGTGGCCAGGAAGGTTTTAGCATGAATCATTTTGCAAATTGGGATGGATGATGAATACAGTACGCATGCAAGGCACTCACTGTGTTCAAACTGATTGCTTTATTTAAAAATTATAACGTGTTTATATTTATCTTAACTAATAATTTAATGTAGAAACTAACCATTATATAGTATTGATTAAAGAAACTGGGGTGGTTACTGCTTGGGATATTCTACTTTTAATTTAATCTTGTATTTGTAATTTACTAAACACTTTTGAATATATTCTAGTTTATTTATGAAAGATTAATCTTGTGCTTATAAATTATAAATATGTTTATAATGGAATATTAAGCAAACCATTGCTACAGCAATAAATTATTTTCTAATTTAGCCATGATATTTTCAGTTTCACAAATTATCGCTGCAATTTTCTAATCGAAACACATTAGGCAAATGTGGATCACGGTAGCACACAATGAGTTGAGCATGGGAAGTGATGCGCTTTACTTCGGGTGGCACCGGGAGTTTTTGCTCGACTTGGGCATCTGGTGCGAGGACCAAATCCCGCACCCTATAAGATTCTCCATGACTGGTTTTTAATTTTATTTCTCTGGTCATGGAATGTTTTTGTTTCTAAGCACATCACCCATCTGAAATCTACAAGCACACCTTGACTGCACCCTGGCTATGGCCAGGGACTTTGAGGACTAGAGCACCCTCCTCATCAAGCATTTCTCTACTGCCATGCTAAATGGATTTGCTAGAGCACTCCGCTAGCGTTCATCTGATGCGCCAGGTATACTACCTGGTGTACAGCCCAAGGGCAAGGACCACTGCTTCCTTCTAACTGTAAAAAACCTTTGGTGATCCATTCCAATTCTACCAAAAAATCAAACCTGTATAGACTAAATGTACCCATTCAGTGTTTAATATCAGTATTACTTCAAGCTCTATAGATTTGACGGAAATTCCCACAAAAAGAAATGAGCTTAGATTTGCAACCTAGCTAAACCTCACATACCATACCGAAATTCCTCGCTAAGATCTTTCATTTCACAAAATCCACTGCAAAAGCAAAGCCAATTCAAGCAAAACTTACAAAGCACTAGACTATTGGAAGCATGATGTCGAAGTGCCTCACCTCTCATGGCATGAGATGCTGCTGAATGGAATGGCTCCATTGCCCAGTCTGATCAACACTAGCAGGGATCATTCCACTGCATGATGAATAAAGCTGTCAAGAACACTAAAAAGAGGGTTTATGTATGTATGCATGACGCAGTAAGTATATTCTCTAATAATTAAGCAAATGGTGTTTAAGCTTGTTTAGTAGTGTTTATGGTCCAAAATGGCCGCTTACAGAAGCGCTCGGATGTTGCACAGAAATGTGATCGGCTGGATGATCCTTGGGACAATGCGCGAAATGTCGTGGACACTAGTGCTAGTGGTCCTGCTTGTAGACCAAACAAGGAGAATCTCTGGATTCAAGATTTAAAAGGAGTGGTGAATGTATTTGTAGATGGACAATTTCAATTTCTTCCATCCAAAATATTGGTTGTGTGAATAGACAATTGATGAAGACCTATCCATGTAAATTTTTTGGTGGGCTCTCTCTTTACTGAGTTTATACTTACATATTCAACACGTTGGTTTTAAGGCGAGATGTCACCATTCTTCTTTTCGTATAAGAATAGCGTGGGCTGACTGCGCTGGCCCTAATAACGTGTGGTTTGGAGAGTGTGTGGATGGATTCTTCTTCCTTGCGGGAGAGCCTTATCGACGAGGATCCAGCGCGATCGGGCAAGGGCGCCTACGATCATGCCGGATTCTTGGCGAAGCTCACATTTTCATGGCTCAATCCCCTCCTCCATCTCGGATCTTCCAGGCACCTCGAGGCGGCCGATATTCCAGTGCTCGGCCATGGCGACAGCGCCGATGCACTGCTGGAGGAGCTGCGATCGCGAGGCGGTGACGCAGAGAAGATCGTCGAGGGCGGGAGGAAGGATATTTTCGTGGCATTGCTTCGATGCCACTGGCGGCTGATCTTCCTCACCGGATTGCTGGCGCTAGTAAAAACCCTGGCGATCTCTGCCGGCCCGATCTTCCTCTATCTCTTCGTCGATTCGATCGCGCGCCGAGATTTCAATCCATCCAACGGATTCCTCGTGATCCTGGGTCTCGTCGCGGTCAAAGCCACTCAATCCATCGCGCACAGGCACTGGAGCTTCCAATCGCGCCGCCTCGGCGTCAAGGCTCGCGCATCGGTGTGCGCTGCGGTCTACGACAAGATCCTCAAGATTTCCAGCAAGGCCAGGCAGCGCCATTCCGGCGGCGAGATCGTGAGCTACATGGGCGTGGATTCCTACCGCCTGGGCGAGTTCTCGTGGTGGATTCACTACTCTTGGGCCTGCATCCTCCAGCTCCTCATCGCCGTCTTGGTGCTCGTCAAGATCGCGAAGCTCGCGATACTGGTCACCCTCTTGGTGCTGCTCGTGACTTTCTTCATCCAGATCCCATTCTCCCGGAATCTCCAGCTCGCGCAGACGAACCTCATGATCGCCCAGGACGAGCGCCTCCGCCGCACCGCCGAGGTTCTCAACAGCGTCAAGATCATCAAGCTCCAGGCGTGGGAGGAGGAATTCAAGAAGATGATCGATGCCTGCCGGGAGAAAGAGCTGCGCTGGACGAAATCCATGCACGTAGGGAGGAGCAAAAACGTCATGATATTTTGGCTCTCGTACGCGACGGCTCTCTCGCTCACGCTCATCGCTTACGCGTGGCTCGGTTACGAGCTCAACGCCGCTGCCATCTTTACCATCTTCTCGGCGTTTGCAAACACCCAGGAGCCCGTGAGGTACATCGCCGATGTTCTTGCCTCCATGAGCCAGGCCATCGTCTCGATCAAGCGACTCCAAATATTCTTCCAAGACGATGAGACCGGGGATGAGAGCACGTCGGTTGGCACGACCAGGGCTGCCGGGATGGATTCGGCAGTGAGGATCCGGATTCATGGGCCTGCCACCTTTGCCTGGGATTTCGATCATTCTTCTCCGAGATCTCACTGTAAGGAAAGCCTCTCGGGTGTCAACTTGAGCATCAGGAGTGGACAGAAAGTCGCGGTTTGTGGGGCTGTCGGTTCTGGAAAGTCGTCGCTGCTGTGTGCAATGCTTGGGGAGATTCCCAAGATCACTGGAGAGGTACGTGGCTTCCATCTTTTTTATATGCTTTGATCTTTTGTCTTCATCGATCCAGGCAGAAGTCAATGGGACCGTTGCTTATGTTTCTCAAGTTGCATGGATCCAGAGTGGAACGATTCGAGACAATATACTGTTTGGAAAAACAATGGTGGAAGAAAGTTACTCCAAGGTGATCCGGGCTTGCGCACTGGAGAGGGATCTGGAGATGTTTCCTTTGGGTGACTTGACCGAGATTGGGGAGAGGGGACTGAACTTAAGTGGTGGACAAAAGCAGAGGATCCAGCTTGCTCGAGCAGTGTACAACGATGCTGATATCTACTTGCTGGACGATCCATTTAGTGCGGTGGATGCCCAGACGGCTGCGACATTATTTCATGTAAGTAGTATATGCCAAGATGAATGAGCTGCATCAATTGTCTTTATTTCTTTGGCAGGAGTGTGTGATGAAATCTCTGAGAAACAAGACTGTAGTACTGGTGACACATCAGGTCGAGTTCCTTCCAGCGTTGGACGTGGTTGTGGTAAGTTCCGTTCAGTTCTCTCTTTAGCGGTATCTCGTTAAGTTTCCTTTCTTTGTATTTAAAAGGTGATGGAAGGTGGAATGATTGAGCAACTTGGTTCATACGAAGAGCTCCTCAAAACCGGGCTAACACTGGAGAAGCTCGTGAACGCACACCACGACACACTAAGCAATGCTCTCAGTAAGAGCAGCGACGATGGCGGCAAGAGCACGGGTGTGACGAACACACCAGCGGACTCCAACGACGAGAGCACAAATCAAACACAAACTGCGCAGCTCACGGAGGACGAAGAGAAAGAATTCGGTGATCTCGGGTTGCAACCGTACAAAGACTACCTCTCTATTTCCAAAGGTCACGTCCTCTTCGGCTTTGATCTGCTGCTGCAAGTCGGCCTGGTTGCTGGCCAGGTGACGGGAGGATTATGGCTGGCTTATCAGGTGACGAAGCCAGGCATTGATGGTCCTTACGTTGCGTATGGCTACACGATTATCGCCTATGTGACAAGCCTGTTCTTGCTGGTACGATTGTTCGTGCACTTGGCACTCGGGCTCAAAGCTTCCAGATCGATCTACTCAGGCCTTATGACGTCGTTGTTTAGAGCTCCAATGTCTTTCTTCGACTCCACTCCAACAGGAAGGATTCTAACCCGGGTACGCAGTTATATTACATGTTTCACGGCAATGTTTTTGGCTGACACTAGCTTTGCAGGCCTCGAGTGATATGTCGATAGTGGATGTCGACGTGTTCATTGCCGGACATATCCTGATTCAGTTTGTTTTCGATTTTCCAGGCGTCATGGTTGTTCTTGGGCTTGTTCTTTGGCCGTCGCTGCTCGTTGTCATTCCCATGTTGTGGGTGATTCTAAAGATCGAGGTAACCATTTGAAGAACTTCCTTCTAAAACTTAGAGTTCTGGTGATATGCTTTTCGACAACAGGCATTCTACCGAACTTCTGCTCAAGAGATGATGAGACTGAATGCAATGACCAAGGCTCCAATCCTCAACCTTGTTGGCGAAACCGTGAGAGGGGCTGTGACAATCCGAGCCTTTAAAATGAAGGAGCGGTTCGTGCAGAGATGTGTGGAGCTCATCAACAAAGACTCGTCAATCTACTTGCACACGAATGCTGCGATAGAGTGGCTCATTCTCAGAGTGGAGGCCTGCGGTTTGATTTTGCTGCTTGTCTTTGGAGTTGGCTTAAACTTGGATCCAAGCTTGACACCAGGTACATACGACGTAGACTTTTTGTTTCTTCCCATTTTTCTTACATTTTGTCTTCTCTCAGGATTGGCTGGAGTCGGACTTGCGTATGGACTGATGATCAATGTCAGCCTTGTATTTATGTCGCAGTGGTACTGTCAGATGGCGAGTCACATTGTTTCAGTGGAGAGAATCAAACAATATATGGACATCCCTGTGGAGCCTCCAGCAATTGTGGAGCACAACAGGCCACCAAAGGCGTGGCCCAGCCATGGAGAAATCGTTTTCCAAAATTTGCAGGTCAGTATCGAGAGCGAAGTTTGATATTGATAGTTTGATTTGATTAACGTTTGATAGTTTTTTTTTCGTGTTATAATAGATCAAGTACAGGCCGGATTTGCCTCTTGTTCTTCGAGGAATCAGCTGCAAAATGGAGGGAGGCAAGAGGATTGGTGTCGTCGGACGCACAGGAAGCGGGAAATCAACACTGATAAGTGCGATATTCCGGCTTGTTGATCCTGCTGGTGGTACCATTCTCATCGATGGTATCGACATTTGCTCGATTGGCCTTCACGATCTGAGGTCCAAGCTCGGAATCATCCCGCAGGAGCCGACGCTATTTCGTGGAACCATTCGGACAAATCTGGATCCTCTAGGAAAATACAGCGACCTCGACATCTGGGAGGTAAGAAGAAATTGTTCTTACCAGTTTTCACTTGGAGCTCATGTTTTTCATTGTGTTCTTGTGCTGTAGGCTCTGGAAAAGTGTCAGATGGCCAAGGAAATACATAGCATGGCGAATCAGCTCGATTCATCGGGTATAGCGTTATATGTTTCCGATGTCTGATCAAACTTCTCGATCGTGTCCCGAGCAGTGAGCGACGAAGGTGGCAACTGGAGCGCTGGACAGAGGCAGCTCTTCTGCCTGGGACGAGTTCTTCTCAAGCGCACAAGAGTTCTCGTGCTGGACGAGGCCACCGCGTCCATCGATTCCTCCACGGACGCCGTGTTGCAAAGAGTGATACGTGAGGAATTCGCGACGTGCACCGTGGTCACCGTCGCTCACCGCATCCCGACCGTGATCGACTGCGACATGGTTCTCACTCTCCAAGACGGTAAGATCACGGCGATGAAGATCTCAGACTGATTGATTCCGTGAAACAGGGGTTCTCCTGGAATTCCAGCCGCCGGAGGTTCTTCTCCAGGATAGAAGCTCCGGTTTTGCGAAGCTCGTTGCCGAGTATTGGGCTCAACGATCCCACCGAAACTAAAGTTCTCCAAAACTTTAGCATTGATAGTTGAAAACTTCAACTCGTAAGTTTGCTATACGACAAAGATTCGAATCAAATCATCAAAAGAAACGATCAAACATAAATTAATCAATTCTATACAATGCCACCATCTCTATCATCGCAAAAGGTTGTCTTGGCGCGCTCTCGTCTTGGACTAGATCCATGATGACAAGAAGCTCGTAGAAACAGCACAGATGCAATGCCTAGATTCGCGAAATCATTCCCCTGGAACGCAGAGCTATCATCTCAACCAAAAGAGAAGCTATACGATCGTAGAAAACAAAGAAATCTTAATCTATTCAGAAGATTCCTCGTGTTTGATCGCAGGCGCTGTGCGCGCCCAGTAGCAGCAGTACTAGCTGCAGCAGCAGTCCCAGCGCAGTGCAAAGCCCCAAATAAGTGAGCACCAAAAAGCAGCCCAAAGAGAGAAAGATGAGAGTGCAAAAGAAGGGAATCGCAATTTTGCTGCTTTGATCTGGTACCAGGGCTCTAGCCGCGCAGGGCATGCTTGGCAAGGACTGCCTCGAGCGTGGCCAGCAGCAATGCCCAAGTACACAAAATTCTCCCCTCTCTGCAAAGAAGGAATTCCGTATGGTCTTCTTCCCATTATTTTACACTATCCTCCTCGCGCGCCCACGATCTCACAAGCTAAATCGAAGCTCGCGATCCATAATGCGTCAATCAAGCCCGGAGAAGCGCGCGCTCCAGGGAGAAAAGAAGTTTTCGACAAAGATCTGGCAGTCGCAGGGATAAGGAAGATAATCGTCGCCTTTGGCTGTGTGAGAATTTTGGGCCACGAGGCGTGTCCACCTGGCGGTGGTCCATAACTGACAATGCGAGGGCACGGAAAGGGCATCCAGCCGACAGGGCCCATGTGGCCGCCCAGATTCCGCCGGCCGTCGCCCGTTGGATCCACACGAATCCACGTCCCGGGAGTTTCGTACGGAAGAGTGATTGATGCATTATGATAGGCTTAAGTATCATATGGAATGCTTAGATTATTAAAAAAGGAAGGACCATGCTTTCGGTGTTTCATATGATATAGCTATCATAGTATATTCATCGCGAGGAGGTCCACCATGGACGGACGCGGCATCTGAAGATTTTCACCATTGTCAATCGCGATGCTTTGAGCTTTTCCGTGAGAAGAAAACACTTACTTCCATTGTCAATCGTGAGCGTTTGCTTCTAGTGGTTTTGCGGGGCAATTTGCGAGGTCAAGTGCCCACCACGAGCTCACCACGATCAAACGCGAGAGGAGCACTGGTGTAAAGAAAGAGAAAAAACGAAAATTTCAGGTACCTCTTTGATGAGAAGAGAGAAAACACTTACTTCCAGTGATTTTGCGAGGAAATGCGAGGATTTGCGAGGTGGACGAGCGCTCACCACGCCTCGCCACGATCAAACGCGCCTCCTCACTGCTGTAAAGGAAGAAAAAAAAGGAATTTTTCGAGTACCTGGGACCTTGGGTAAAAGCTTGAAACGCACTTTCGGCGCGAGGGACGTCCACCACGGACGCACGACGGCCGCACCGCGCGGGGCCGAGCCTGGAAAAAGGAAAAACAAAAAACAAAAGAGAGAGCATCAAATTCACGTCCATGCCATGCTTAAGAAGGCGCTTTACCTCCTTAACAAGGTGGAGAATATGTCCTCGTCTCGGCCAAGATAAAAGCGAGACGCAAAAGCATCTTTCGTCCACCACAACTCCCGCCCCGAAAACTCGAAGAAGCTCCAGGCTGGGCTACCGGGGGCTGTAGACTCTACAGTAGAACAACCTGTAAGTTCTTCTCGTATCAAGAGCATTTTGTACGTCGAGTACCTCCGGTGTCTTTCCCTTTGAAAATGCCATCCCGTCATAATCGCCCCAGTGATTAGGCTGTACACGAGCAACAGTGACTGATTGGATTGGATCGACGCTGCCAAAAACAAATCGTAGAGTTGTAAGATCGGGAAAAACAAACACACCATACCAGCTTGACTTACCTGACAAAATCGCTGCAAACAAAACAATGGAGAACCACTTTAGCTCTGCTGCTCGGAAACATTGCGAAGATTCGGGTTAAGTCGGCAGAGGCAGCCTCTTTACAGCCAAAAAAAGTGTAAACTAGTCCTGTAAACAAGAGGATCCCACACATAAAGCACAAGAGACAAGGTCACATTCACACCACAAACAAACAAAAACTAAGATATGCAGCCAACAAAATTGACAGGAAACTAACTTACCAGTAAAACCCCCGCCATAGCCAGGCTACTTAAAGGCCTCGCGTGTCTTTCTTCCAGAGGTTTTTGCAGAGCATCTCGAGCCAGCGCCATCGCCAAGCAAGCTCCCTCTTTTCTTTTCTCTCGCTTTCGTGTTGTTTGTCTTCTTGCTGTTTGGATTCTTTATGCCGTTCTGCCGCTGCCTCGATTGCTGCTGCTGCTGCTGCCTCCTTAGCTCCTTCTCTCCAGGAATTCAAGCTCGGAATCCTGCATTGGAGGTGGAGGAGGCTTGGTCACATCTGATCGCAAGTAAGAAAGATGGATACTGTACCTCTTTTCTCCTCTCTTGCTCTGGTGATTGATCGAACTTAAGATACTTACCGGCTTTGGCTGCAGGAAAACATGTCGCAGATGATGCACAAACACTCCCGAGTGCCACCAGGCTTCCGATTCCATCCGACTGACGAGGAACTCGTCGGCTACTACCTGCACAAGAAAGTCTCGTGCAGAAGAATCGATCTGGATGTCATTCGCGAAATTGATCTGTATAAGATGGAGCCTTGGGACTTACAAGGTAGGCACTCGCTTCCTCCTTGCTCAAAAACATCTTTTGCTGGCTCCTGGCTGAATCTCTCCTTCTGTTGTCACAGAGAAATGTAGGATTGGATCAGCAGAGCAAACCGAGTGGTACTTTTTCAGCCACAAAGACAAGAAGTACCCCACAGGAACACGAACCAACAGAGCAACCACGGCTGGTTTCTGGAAGGCGACCGGGCGGGACAAGACCATCCACACCAAGTACAACTTCGTCGGCATGAGGAAGACGCTGGTGTTCTACAAGGGACGAGCTCCAAACGGCCAGAAGACCGACTGGATAATGCACGAGTACCGCCTCGAGGACGAGCAAAGCAGCATCACCAGCAGTCCTGTAAGTGTGATAGCACTGTGTAAGCAACCATCCATAGAAACTCCTGTGCTCAAACCTTCTTTCCTTTTTTTTTTCTCTTGTTTCCATGCAGCAGGACCAGGATGGCTGGGTGGTATGCCGAGTTTTCAAGAAGAAGGTGAACCTCAAAGGCCAAAAGTCCGACTCCAGTCCTGGATACGAAGATCAATCCACATTGCTTCAAGAGATGAGCTTACCACCGCACGGTTTCGGGATGATCCGAGAGAACCAGCACCAAAAGCAGCAGCACCAGCAGCAGCAATTCTCTTGCAAGCAAGAGTTTGAGAGAATGGACGAGTTCCCGAGCTACAACGATCCATTCTCCCGGCTTCCACAGCTCGAGAGCCCGTCCACCTTCAGCATGAAGAACTCCTTCACTGCAGACAGTAGCAACAACATCATCATGAGGAACAACTATCCTCCACCAGCGTTCTCTCTCGAGGCAATCGAGTTTGATTCTACTGCCAAGCTCCACGAAGCAGAAGAACAGCCATCTATCCTCATCCAGGCCGAGCAGCTCACGGACTGGAGAACCGTGGACAAGCTCGCGGCCGCGCAGCTTAGCCAGGATCAAGGCGTCAAGGAGACGAGGTACCTCGAGAGCAATGATGACTACTCTGGAGAAGTAGCACTGCTGTTGCGATTGAGCAAGCAGGACATCGATCGCTCCAGCAGCGATGGAGAGCTCTGGAGCTTCCGAGACACCAACAGTCTCTAGAAAATCGAAGGGAAAAAAGAAAGAACAAATGAATCTATTAGCTCATAGAGGCACCGAATTGCCATTGTAAGAGCTTATAAATCTACATAAAGAAAAGATAGAAAGAAAGTATAACCTGGATCATTGTCCTAGCTCCCAGCTCCCAGCGCGCATTTTTCCATCAAATCGCAAGAACTTGGCCCCCCAAGAACCCTAAAATAATAGGGGTTTAAAGTAAATTTTAGGGTTCTTGGATGCTGGGCGATAATGCGGTTGATCTCTTACTTCCTGGCGCTCGTGCTCTCCGCGTCTCTGATCTTCCTCCTCCGCGGATCCCCGGCATCGCCTCGATGCCGCCACCGCGGCGGCGGCATCGGCAGCAAGCTCAAGCACAGCAGCGTCGTCCAGGACGATGATCTGGTCGCAGGATTGGGTATTTCAGGGCGGATCCAGTGCCGGAGTTCCTCCGGGAAGCCAGGGGCGACCTGGATTTCATCCAGCTGTGGTACGGAGAGCGTGGGATTGGTCTCTTTGTTCGTCCCGCCCGATCGACACAGTGGTGAGTGCGATGGTTCTGTAGTTGGGGGCAGGGTTTTGCGGGGCTTGGAGAAAGGCTACTCTGTTCTTCGCGTGTTTGTGGAGTCCGCGCGGCTGGCCATGCCCAATTCCCAGCAGCTCGTACTGACAGATCCGGCCGCCGTGATTTCCACCGAAAGGCTCCCTGCTGGGATCTCTTTCCAGCGAGTGCCTGGGAATTACTCCCGCGGCAATCTCATGCTCCAAAGGCTGGACTCTTACATTGCATTCCTGGACGATCAGATCAAACAGGTTGGAAAGGCCGACTCGCTCCAGCATTTTATATTCGCCGACTCGGATATGATCGTCGTGGGGGATTTGGGATGCGTGTTTCTCGAGTTTCCCAGCTTTGACGTGGCTCTTACGTTCCGGAATAACAAAGAACAGCCCATCAACTCGGGGATGATCTTCGTGAGGGGCAGCAAAGATGGTCTGGCCAAGGGAAAGCTGCTGCTCCAGAGCGTCGTGGATTCCTACAGGAGGGACTTCTTTCGAGCGTCTCGGATGATGGGTGACCAGCTCGCATTCGCTTGGGTGGTGAGGCACTTCTCGGATCCTCTCGAGGATTCGTTCAAGCAGGGGAAAGTTTTCAAGAGCCAAGTTAAAGGGGTGGAGGTGCTGTTCCTGCCTTGCTCGTCGTATAACTGGACGCCTGCCGAAGGAGCTGGACAGTTCCATGGCATGCCTCTGGACGTCAAAGCTATTCACTTCAAAGGCTCCAGGAAAAGGCTGATGCTCGAAGCTTGGGATTCTCACAAACATCAGGTAGCAGCAACCAAAGACTTGCTGCCGCTACAATGCTTCGTTCTAAAGAGTGGACGCTCAAAGTACGATTTTTGATAAGGTATGGAGGCCCGCAAACTTTTAGACGGCTGCAATGTGTCCGACCTCGGTGGTAAGCCTCGTGTTTACAGCGCTACACTTCCTTCTGATTTCTCCGTTGGCTCGGGTCTTCCAGGCAGCATTTCCCATGTTGATCATGGACTCCGCGAATAAAACCTTGAACAGGTTGGGATCCTGAGCAAGAAACCTCACGAGGCCGGAGGTCTCAGAGCTCTCAACAAGGACGTGGTCGGAGTTCAGTACACCATTGTTCGCGACCAGGTTCCTGAAGTAGGCGTTGTCGAAGCTAAACTCGGAGTTTCTGTCCAGGGCCACTGTCGGGCTTGGGTCTGCTCCCTGTGGAGTGCAAATCCGTCGGAGCGCAGCAGCGTACTCGGCATTCAGCCTGGGATCCGGCAGTCCACCAGTGAAGTTGTAGAGACGGTTCTCGAAGAAGCGGCACTTTGTTCGACCGATAGTGTGGCCACCTAGAGATTAAAGCTTGGGTCAGGAAACAGGCAAATAGGGGCTTGGAAGAACAACTTACCGGAAAGAAGGACGAGGTCCTGAGTAGACAATCCAACGTTTGCGAATTTTCGCTTCAACTGGTCGATGTTTTCGAATGGGCTAGCCAGTCTCTCATTGGCGAGCGTCCTGTTGGAAACTCTTCCATCGTACCTTCCGGTTGGTACCTGATAGAACAATCCTCCGAGCTGACAAAGAAGACCAGGGGTCAAGCCAAGCCAGGAACACTACACGACTCTGGAGGAAAAGCTTTCTTACAATGACGGACGAATCTCTGGCTGCTACGGCGATGATATCAGCGCAGCTCACAGCTCCCGGACACACGGCCTCGATCCTCGTCTTGGCCTCGTCGATGATCTCGAATCCACGAACGGAGTTATCGTTCCCGTCAGCGAATCTCTCGACGTCTGTCCCGTCAGTGGGAGTGGATTCGAGCATCACTGAAGCATCGCATCCCTGGAGGACGAAAGTTATGGATCAAAGAAACGGCGAGAAAAAGAGCCAAGTATGGATCAGTGAAGAGAACTTACTTCGACAAAGCAATCGTGGAAGTGTAAGCGCAGGAGGCCCGCTGGAGAGGTCGGGTCCTTGAGGAAGTTTTGGAAGACGGTGTCGCGGATGCTCGCCTCGGCCGGGGGGCATTGCAAGCCGATTTGGGCGATGGTGGCGGCGATCAAACCGAGCAAACAGCATGCAACAAGAGAGAGCCGTGCCGCCATCGAGGTAGGGATCTAAACTTCTGTGAGATATCGCTCGAGCTCCCGCGATGATTTATACCTGACTGCAACAAAGAAGAGATCGTAGCCATTTCGGAGTCCATGCGCGCTCGCGAAAATCGATCTTCGCTTGTGGCACACACGCACGAGATTTTGAAAAAACTTTGGAGGCAATTTTGACGTCATTGATTTCAGCAATACGACAGAATATGCGATACAATGTGCCGGAATATTCTAATCTCTAAGCGGTGTTAGAGAGATTGGGCCCTAAAAATACGAGAATGTTTGGGTTGGGTGAACGCAAGAGTTGCCGCCCCTCTTCACCCACCATGAACGAAGGTCGAGCGCGGCGATCGCACCGCGAGCAGGGTGATCGCCCCGGCATCGCGTAGATTGCGCTTGGGGTTGGCGGCAATTCTCTCCGCGCATCGGCGGAGGTGTAGCTGGGGCAAGGGATTAGTTTTGGAACCTTGCAGCGAGCTAGGATCACGCGAAATTGCCGAGGTATGAGCTCAAAATCCTAGATTTTGCCGGAGGAATCGGTCGAGGGGGTAGACCTAGCCATGGCAGATCCTCAGCCTGAAGCATCGTCTTCTTCCAACGTTGCCAGCAGTAGCAGCCATTCTGGCGAGGGCAATGCAGATAATCCGGGGTATTGGTGCTACCAGTGCCGGAAAGAGGTGACTGTAGAAGCACAGGAAGATGGTCCTTCGGCGATGATATGCTCCGAGTGTAGGAATGGTTTTGTGGAGCCTCTAGGATCGCCGCCTCCAAGAACTGGGGAAGAGGCTCCTGGTCGCAGTTTAAACATTAGTAGCAGCAACAACAATGGTAGCAGCGGTGATACCCATGGATATCCGGGAAATACTTTGCGTAGGAGGAGAAGAAGAGGGAACGCTCCCACTGTTCCTCGCGCTCCTCAGGCCCAGGCTGTGTCACTCACTGATGCTTTTGGTCAGCTCTATCCGCAGCAGCTAGTCCATGTCTTGCAGCTCCTGGGACAGGCAGCTAGAGCCAACAATGAGAACAATAGTGGAAGAAGCGATGATAGCAGGAATGAGCAGCATGGCGAAGCACAGCAAGAGAGTGCTGATGCCACCGCTCAGGAACGAGAGAATTCGTCGAGTTTGCAACGTAGCGAAGCGCACGATGGTGGCGACGGTGATCACGATGAGAGCGAGAGTGAGGTCGAAGCGGCTCTTTTGGAACGCTGGGAGTCTGAGGACGAGGACGACGAGGATGAATGGGAGGAAGTTGGAGACGAAGAAGGTGCTGCTGGACAAGGTGGCGGGGACGATAACGCTGACGATGAAGGAGCTCACAACGAGCAAGAGCAGCGGCAGCCACCGGAGGAACTGCCTCCGCGCAGGAATGCTCGGGTGAGGAGAGAACAGGGACACAACGCGCGGAGGCCGACGCACTTGCACCATTACTTGCAAGAGCTCCTCCAGAATCTGGTCGGACAGAACATCGAGGTCCGAGTCGAGGTCCCGCAGTACGTAGGCAATCCGGGAGACTACGTCGATGCCAGGGGATTCGAGCTTCTTCTCCAGCAGCTCGCCGAGAATGACAACTCGCGGAGAGGAGCTCCTCCAGCAGCCAAGTCGGCAGTGGACACGCTTCCGACAATTCTCATAGAGCAGGCTCACCTCGATGACGGCTCGGCTGTGTGTGCGGTGTGCAAAGACACCGTGTGCGTGGGCGAGCCGGCAAAGCAGATGCCGTGCTTGCACCTCTACCACGCCGACTGCATCCTTCCGTGGCTGGACTCCAGAAACTCATGCCCGGTTTGCCGGTTCGAGCTTCCAACAGACGACCCCGACTACGAGGACCAGAAGAGGATGAGCAGCCAACGCAGGGGCACGCCATCTCGAGCTGTGGAGCACGTCGAGTCCCAGCAGCAAACCGAAGAGCAGTACGACGTCCAGCAGCAAAGCGATGCGAGTGTTCCTCGTCCCGGGAGCTCGAGCTCTACCAGTGCTCAAGACGGTGCAAGTAGCAGCGGCAGGATGGAGGCACAAGAAGAAATCCAGCCGCCACTTGAAGCCGCAAGAGCTAGCGAAGAACCGCTGCTGGACGCCACCATGATCGACGAAGGCAACACCAGTGGAGGAGCAGTGCAGCGGAGGAATGGAACTCCGGCGAGCCGGGGACGCGGATGGTCCTTGCTCTCGGCGGCGCCGATGCTGAGCATGGTGGGGATCGTTCTGGTGATTTGCCTGGGGAATCATCTCATCGGTGGCAGCAGCAGGCAAGGAAATGGTGGTAGCAGCAGCGGCAGTCACGTCCAGAGGCAGCAGCCGGATTACTCTAGCCAAGAACCGGGCTTCGATCGAATAGCAGCGAGCTCTAGTGACAGTTTCCAGGCGCGAAGACACTGGTGGTGGCTTCCATTCCAGCCGAGGTGATGGTTTCTTCTAGCTATGGTGGTAGTAGTCTCGCGAAAGTAACGACCTTTATAATAATGGTTAAAACTCTGTGAATTAGGGTTCTTGCGGTAGCCCTAAAAACAGGGCTGAAAACAGGGGAGGGCTCGCGAGGGTTTTGGCGCTAGATCGAGAATGTGGGCGCGGCGCTTCCATCCGGGTCCGCTGCTGGCCAAGGTGAAGAAATCCACAGGGATCACGGGCCTCCGGGTGGAGCCGCAAGCGCGGGAGAAGCTCCTGGGGCTCTACCAGCGGACGCTGCTCGCGGCGGAGAGCATCCCCGAGGAGGCGTTCTACAAGCAGGCGGTGCTCAAGATCACGAACGCGCGGCTCAAGGTGTGCCAGGAGGAGGAGGATTGGGAGAAGATCGAGGAGAGGATTGGGTGTGGGCAAGTGGAGGAGCTCATCAAGCAGGCCGAGGACGAGCTCAAGCTCATCCCCAAGATGATCGAGTGGAAGCCGTGGGAGGTGCCCGAGGGGCACAAGATCAGGATCCGCGACGAGGGCTACGAGCGATCCAAGCATTTGCCGACGCATCGGTCGAGCTGGGATGCGGTGGAGCTCGAGATTTTGGATCGTCGCGAGAGGGAGAAGAAGGAGAAGGAGGCGAGAGAGAAGGAGGCCGAGGAGAAAGAGGGCCAGATCGACGCCTCTGGGAGCTCCAAGTGACCACTGGGAATTCTTTCCTTGATTTTTCGAAGAACATTTTACCCCTTTTGTATGTAATAATGGGGATAATGAAGAACCCTAGTTTTGCCCTAGAACAGGGGAGGGTTTTAGAGATAGGGTTTATGTGAAAGAGCTGCGATAGGGCTCTTGGATCCCAGTTCCGCGTGCTTCGATTGATTCGCGTCCCGCATTTGCCATGCTTTGCTGAGCGCCGCTCGTCGCGGCGCTTATGGGGCGATTCTGTGCAGCCTGCTTGTCTTCCGCGCTGCACGCGACAATGGCGATGGTGCCATCGTCAGGGCGTGGCATTGATCGAGTGGCGGCGGCAGGGGTGGTATCGTCGTCGCGGCGGGATTCTTCGTCGCGCAGGGTTTTGCTTGGCAGGCGAGGGAACAGGAGGAGTTTTACGACTTCGTCGGCGATGCGGGGAGGGATTGGAGGCCCCTGGAGTAGCAGCTATGGATTGCTGAGTAGGAAATGGAGCGATGGCCTTGCCAGTATCAAGCAGCTTGTCGGTCTGTTTGTGGAGACGCGAGAAAAGAAGAAGGAAAGAATCAGGGGGAGGTATGGGCATTGTCTATAGAATCCTTGTGCTTTCTTCTAGCTGGTTTCTTTTGGATTCTTCGCAGGTATCTAGAGTTGAGAGTGAGCGCGAGCGAGGAAGTCGCGACGTCCGGCGATCAAATTTTTCGCAAAGGAATGCTTGTAGAGCTTGTAAAAGATGGCAAGCTTGTTTGTGCGGTTGTGGATAGGCCGGAAGGGAAGAAGAACTGGATTGCCATAGACCAGGTGACTATTCTTTCAGAGCTTTGGAAGAAGTATGCTCTTTAACTAATGCTATAGCGTATTTGCAGTATGGAAATTCCCACTCGGTGAAGCCTGGGAAAGTAAGATACGTTGTTCCAGATGTAGAAACGTTTAAACCAGAAGACATCGTTGAGTTCCTGAAGCAAACGGAAGCCATACAGGTTTTTTTTGTTCTTTCATTTTTTCTTATGAAACAATTTTGCGTTTTGCAGGACTTGTCTCTTATAGAAATTGCATGGCACGAGCTGGTTGAGTCAGAGGAGAAATCCATAAGTTCAAAGAAGCTAGCCAAAGTTTGTGAGTCGACGTTTTTGTTGAAATGGTTGACTTGTCTGCCTTGCAATTGCAGGTGCTTTTTGGGGATGTTTCCCACGTTGAGTACTATGCAACGCATTGTATGCTATCTTCAAAGCAAGTGTTCTTTAGGCGCAAGCAAAAAGGGCCTGTTGTCTTTTACGAACCGCGGTCTAGTGCAGAGGTAAGCTCGACATCATTGTCTCTCATGTTTGATCTTTCTGTTTATCAGGTGCAGGAGTTACAACACCAGTATAATGTCGAGGAAACCGCTCGAATGGAGCTGGTGAATTTTATCAACATGGTCAAGTCCGCCTTAGCACAGTCTCATGATTCAAAGCCATCTCCCACCAGTTGGTCCTCGGAAAAGTTCGCGCTCGCCCGCGTAGAAGCTCTGCAGGAATTTGCGTTAGATGCGTTTGCCGATGAAACTCAGAAGAACTTGGCAAAAGAGGTAAGCTACTCACGTTGCATCAAAGTTTGATTCTGATTTAATATATTCCAGGTTTTGGAGGCCTTGGGACAGCAGAAGTCTCCTGAATCTGCTCTAGATGTTTTGATCGGCATAGGTATTCTTCCGTTTCACGTAAATGTGGAACTGCTAAAGTCCAAAATTCCGACTGCTTTTTCTGACGAGCATATTGCGGCTGCAAAGCTTCTTGAAGAGGAGCCATGTCTTGATCAAAATAAGGTGCGCTTTATTCATTCTTAAATTTTCTAAAGCCTGGAATTTGATGTCTGATCAGGATTCTAGAGTCGATTTAACAGCCATGAAGGTTTACACCATTGATTCAGATTCTACTGAAGAGGTTTGTGTTTTGGTCTATCGTTGTGCTTCCTGACATTCATTTCTAGATCGATGATGGATTGAGCGCGACTGAGCTCCCCGACGGTCGTGTGAAAATTTGGATTCACATTGCGGATCCGACAAGATGGGTAGAGCCGGAACATATAATTGAAAGGTGCGTGCACGTGTGTTGATTTGTTGTGCTAGGCTAACCTGAGACTAATAGAGAAGCAAAACACCGAGGAACGACCGTTTACCTGCCAGAGAAAACGATTCCCATGTTTCCCATGAACTTAGCTACTGGACCGATGAGCCTTAGGCAGAACACGGAATGCTGCGCTGTGAGTGTGTCCGTCATCCTCGACAAAGATGGCAGGTGTGTATTGCTTGCTAGCCTACCTGGACCTCTGGAAAATCAAGTTTGGTGTTTCAAGCATTGCAGAGTCTTCGGTATGCAGCTCAGTGATAAAACCGTCGATGCGACTCTCATATGACTCTGCAACGGAGCTTATAATGTATCAACTAGACGAAGAGCGTGAGCTAAATTTGCTGGCGAAGGCTGCCAGACTCCGTTATGAATGGCGACTTTCTCAGGTGCTTGTTGTTTAATTTAGCTTCAGTGGTTGATCTTTGAGGATGTTGTAAGCAGGGTGCAGTTGATTTATCCACTCGGCAGATAGAAGTCAAAGTAACCAATCCAGATTCGTTTGAGCCCGAAATCAAGCTTCAGGTGATCGACATGACCAGTCCCTCTGGACAACTTGTTTCAGAGATGATGATTCTGTGTGGCGAGGCCATAGCTGCTTACGGCAACGAGAAGATTCTGGCCTTGCCATACAGAGGACAGTCAGACATGGCTGTCGAGATGAACTGCACCAAACCGCTACAGCACTCTAGTTTGGGCCTACCTGGATACGTTCAGTTTACTTCTCCAATCAGACGATATAGTGACTTGTTGGCACACTACCAGGTTCTCCTTGTCCTCTTTTACTGACGATTTGTTAAAACGTGATCGCTTTGGTTAACAGGTCAAAGCAGCCCTTCGCAAAAAGTCTCCACCGCTTAGCAGTAGCCAGCTCGAGGCAGCAATTATGCTAGCCAACTTGAAAACGAAGGAGGCGAGAAAATTGGGAAACGCGTCCTCTAGGTACTGGCTTATTGAGTATCTGCGGAGGCGGCCCAGGGACGAGCTGTATGAAGCGTCGGTAGTCAGGGTCAAAGACGGACAAGTTGTCGTCTCCATCAAGGAGGTATGAAGTTTTCAGTGTTTCCTGTTTTCTATAAGCTGGCTAATGTGAGTTGCAGGTGGGATTGCATACATCGGTGAGTACCAACGTGAAGCTAGAAGCTGGTGATGCCGTTCGAGTTATAGTTGCCGCTGCTAATCCTCGGAAAGATATTTTGGATGTCGAACTGGTAGAAGTGTTGAACACCGAGGACGCATTAGACAACGTTGTAGCAGCTTAATTTCACAAGGTACTTGGATACAAGAACTTTCTCGTTTTTTTTCATGTCAGCTCAACCCATTGGTTGTAATACTCAAAAGAAAGCAGGATATGTTTTCTACTTGCAAGACCCCAAGACATCCTGGGTGTGGTGGATGCCAAGAGGCAACGTTGACATTGCTCTAGAGGACGAGCATCCATCAACCGTCAGAAGCACCGCCATGGGCATATTGTCGTCGAGATAAACCGGGGGAACATAATCATTCAGGCCTGGTACCGTATGGAACTTGGCAAACTTCCACTTCTCAAAAGTTTCGTTGGACACAGCCAGCCTCGCCTTGATCCTCTGCTTGATCCTGCGAAGAGTCTCCTGGTGGTGAACGTGCATTGCAAACGGCTCTCCGAAAGCTTCATACGACCAGGTCCCAGTCCGGAAGTGGTGGACGTGAATCACAGACTTACCAGCCACAGACTTCTCGTCGTCCGGTGGAACCTCCTCGGCCCGCAGGCCATCACCGTCCGACTCCTCCTGGCTAATGACCGAGATGGGATCCTTCCTCTTGAAGATGCGGCCGATCCGATGGTTGAAAACTTGGAGAATCCGGAGCGACACCCTGAGCTTTTTCGGCCGGTTGAGCTGCTTATTCACCTCGGACACAAGCTCCGCGACAGTGCTACCGGCTGGAAGAACGACCTTATGCAAGCGGACCTTCTGGGTGTTATATCGTCGGAACCAGAGCTTGATCTCCCGGAAGCCAAGCGGTGGCAGTCTCTCTCTCACCAGGTCCAGCAGGAGCTCCGCATTCTTTGAGACGAGCGCTTTTCCATTGCAATCGAGGAACTCGGACAGGTGACTGGTGACAAAGCTCCGGCACTTGGCAGCCAGCGTCTCCTGGCCGTAGAGATCCGCGAGCTCCAGCAGGCCGAGGCAGTTCTCGCAGGTGATGGATCGAGACAGGCCGGCGACGCAAGCGTTCATGAGAGCTCCCGGGAGGCAGTACTTGTGACAGGCGGCAAGCACGGCCAAGCCCGACTCCGCCACCTTTTGCTGCTCCAGGCGGCCCGTGTAGAGGAAGAGGAGGAAGGCCCGGAGCTGTGGAGTGGTCATGTCGGTGATGGCGATGGTGGCGGTCTCTTGCTCCTGGAGGCCGGCCGAGAGCATGGTGCTAAACACTGGCGACAGGGACGCGAGGATGCAGCGGTGGGCGGGGGTGGAGTCGTCCCCCGTCTGGAAAGTGATGTCCGAGTAGAGGCCCGAGCTCAACAGGCGCTCGCACGCCGCGGAGAGATGCGCCGGCGACTCCACCTCCATCTGGGAAGACGAAGACGAAGGAGTGCTCTAAGCTATACCCCTCGAGAAGAAAACCAAACGTTCTCAATTCAAGACCAGTAAAACGAAACGAATTTGATGAAATCAATGCAGTTGAAAGAAGTTTTTGTATGGTGAAACGATGATCCAGTGTGAGAAGGGGGTGAAGAATTCACGATACTTCGAAGAATTCTACGAGCTCCATGATCCGGCTTTAATCGCAAGGACTAGCTTTTCGATGCTGGAAAACGAGGAGCCTCCTGGCTGGACAGCCTCGCGAGCAGCCTTGGACGCTCGCTTCATGCTGTAGCGAAGAGACTCGTCCCGGAGGCCGGATCTTACGCCATCTCGGACTTCCTTCCGACTTACAAGCACGCCCGACTTCGCCAGTGCAGCGTCGCTGATCGGAGTGCCGGCCTTCCAGTCGTGGACGAGATAGCGAGCGCAAACGTTCTGCTCGTCAAAGAGGGGCCAGGCCAGCACGGGCACGCCGCTCCACACAGCCTCCAACGTCGAGTTCCAGCCGCAGTGAGAGAGAAACAATCCAACCGATGGATGAGCCAGGATTTGGAGCTGATTCGCCCAAGCTACGATCAAACCTTTCGCGCTCGTCCTCTTTCGAAACTCCTCGAGGAAGGTCTCGACGTCTTCTTGCTTGTCAACGAGTGTAGGCCTGACCACCCAGAGAAAGGACGCTCCACTCGACTCCAGCCCCAGCGCGAGCTCCTCGAACTGCTGCGCGGAGACATACGCGAGCGTTCCAAAGGAGACGTAGACCACGGACTTGGGCTCTTGCTGGTCGAGCCACTCGAGGCAACGATCAGCGTGTCGAGCGATCCCATTCTGGTCAGTCGCCATTAGAGGACCCACTGGGAGGCACGGACAAGGCAGCAGGCTCTGGAGCTCTTGGATTCTCTGCTTCTCCGCGCCCTCGAAGCTGTTTAGCAGCAGGCAGCTCATCCCAGAATGAAGAAGCACCTGCCCAAACTCGATGCTCATCCTGAGATCCTCCTCGTTGGCGGTGTGGAAGTAGAATGGAATGCCTGCTAGAGCTAGTCCATTTGCTCCTGGAGAAAGCAACTTCTCACCTTGGGCTGGGAGGTATCCTTTCGCTACGAGGTCTGGCAGCGTAACCATGACACTCGCACAAGCAACGGTGCTCGCCCAGAATCCAGCCACAAACCTGTGACGAACTTCCGGAAGCCATGGGAAGCACGCGTCGACAATCAAGCACGCGAATGGCGTCCCATTCTCCTCCTCATCGGCGAGCACTAGCTTCTCAAAGGGCTGTCTCATCTTCTCGGATTCTCGCAACACATCGGCGATGGCATCGTTGCTGCTGTTGAGCTGATTGTCATCCAATCCTCCCTCGATGCCCACCACCTTGATGAGCTCCTCGTAGGCCTTGGATGGTTTTGCGGATTTCTCAAACCATTTGCTGGTGAAGAATGTGACCCGGATTCCCAAGTTTGCAAGGCGACACGCCAGTCGCATCATCGGATTTTGGTGGCCATGTAGTGGAAAGGTGACTATGGCGACACGAGATTGCAAGTGCTTGGCCTCCATCCTCAAGAACCAAAATCTATTGAGATGGGAAAGCTGTGCGTATATATTCTGAAACTCACCCGCCCACGTTAGATCCGTGGTGTTGTGGTATTCTCTTCGTTGAACACTATCGCCAACTTTGCAATAACTCCCACTTTTGCGACCCACGGAGATAATGTGGGATCATGTACCCCACCTCTTGACTTTAGCCATCTGTGTCATTTGATAATGTTTTTGAGGGTCTTGTAGCGCCCAAGTGGAGGCAGCCAGACATCCACATCCAAAAGTCTTACTAACATATTATTACATGTTTGAGATCATTCATAGACGTGATAACACGGCTAGTAAGAACAGCACTGAGCTCAACTAAAACATAAATCTTTGGAGACAGTTTATACTTTAGGAAATTAAAGTCAAAAGATATTCTATAGGAACCTTTAATTTTTCTTGAAGAGATAATGAGAAAGGAGCCACTGCTGCCCGTTGTCAAACTTATACATCTCCGCGAACAAAATAAACACAGCTTTCCATCGCCCCATCCAAACGTTGGCCTGCTCTTTACCATAGACGTCGTTGAATATGGGCCGGATCAAGTCCGCATTCTCAGACATTTGTCTTGCGTACGCGTCACTGCCCTCAAACGCTTAGTGGCTGGCTTTTCTCTTTAGAAACTCAAGCCTTACCTGGAAAGACCATGATGCCTTCCATCGATACGCCAGTGACCAACAATGGATAGATCATCCTGGTTGAGTCGGGACAATTGTTAATCACTGATAGTTCTGTCAAATTGCTATCTTACCTGAAAGTTGAGAAGCAGGGAGTCCGCAAGAAGTGTTCCTCCATTCAGAAAGTATTTTCCAATCCAAGCTGTCATCTCATCACCTTGAGTTTCCTACATCAACATTATTCTTTAGAGATGTATTATTCCAAGAGCTATACTACCTGGTAATGCCTCGCGAAGGACTTGTGAGTCAGGGCCTCAATGAAAAGAAGGCCATCCGGAGTCATCCACGACGAAATCTTCTCGAACAGTAGCTTATAGTTCTTCAAGTACTGTACCAAATCTTTGTGACTCACCAGACTCTGAAAGAAAAAGGGAGATCGCTCACCTCAAGCAGTTCAATGCAAAGAACCCGATCAAAAGTTTCATTCAACTCAAGTGTACAGATATCGGACTCTATAGCTCGGACATTGGAAATGCCAAGTTCCCTGAATGAAAACCAGCGCTAGTGACTTATTTGTGCTTAGGATCTTGGAAAGCAATTAAAGAAACCAAAAGCTTACCTGCATTTGTTGTCAATGTAATCCTTTTGAAGTTTGGAGCAGACAGCAGTGATGTGGCTGCGAGGGCATCTTTCTGCAATGTAGAAAGAAGCCGCGCCCCATCCAGCACCAATGTCTAGTATTGTCTGCCCATCTTGGATCCGAGCTCGCTCGAAGTAAAGCTCGAGCATAGCATCCTCGGCCTCGTCCAGTGCAATGGGCTCAAAGTTCTTGAAGTACAAGGCCCTGCAAGGGCGAAAACACCCCCCTCAAAACAATCCCGAAGATTAAAACCTTACCCGAACTTGAGACGCTTTCCTAAGATGATCTCGAAAAACTCGGTGGGGAGCTCGTATGCATCGAATTCAGGCTGGGATGGGAGCGCAAGCGGCATCTCCTTGAGTGCTGAAGAAGGGAAAACGAGAAAGTAAAGTGTGAGGAGTTTTTCCTTAGTTTTGAGCTCTTCGTACATTCTACAAACTCAAGGAGCTGCGTGAGCTGAGCATCGGCCGGCAGCGACGTGAATCGAGTAAGGGTGGCTGAGAGCACGTCACGTGCTGCATTGCGGAGCGCGGCCTCGTCGAGTTGCTCCGGCTTGACAAGAATGGTGCTGAGTGCCATCGCCTAGTCTAAGAGTGATCTCTACTGCTTTTTATTTAGATAGTATCGACACTTGCGGGTGTCCTGTGGAAGTCAGTGTTTTTTCAAAAAATGAATACTCTAGCTTGGGGGTGCCCTGCAAAAGATTTCTTTAAATGGAGCTCTGTGACAGATCATGCCTGAGAGTGACCTCCTTGTGGTGTCGCGCCAGCACAATTAAGAAAAACCATAGCGGCTGTGACGTGGTGAATTGGTGATCGTAGAAAACAATCATCTTGACTAGTCCAAGCTTGTAGGAAAGAAAAAAAAATGTGAAGACTCCGTCGTTGGAACGAGCTAAGAAAATTTAATTACAAAAAAAAAAAAAAACGATTTCGTGAATCGTAGAAAGCGTTACAGTCCTACGGGTGTAATTTGAGATCCAAGAAATTGAGCAATACCGGGGCAGACAATGCGAAAAGATAGGCGCGATAGCGATGATGTACCTTAAAGCCCGACTGAGAACTCACATCTTTGTAGCCTTCTCATGCAACTCTATCAAAGACCGCTGATTCCTTGAACAAAGCTTTTATGCCAGCGAAGCCAAGACAAGTTGATAGAATCTGAAAACTCGGATAAGAGAGACCGTAATGAGAATACAAACCGGCTTCAAGTCATGAAAGTTCCTCAGCTAAACTCTGGATCACTTGCAGAGACATTAGTCAGCTTGAAACGTAGCCTCCCTATTTCCTCGTCCACGGTGACATTCACATCCACACCTTGGACATACCACCACTTCGGCGGAACGATTGGGTTAGCGAGCAGATCTGTAGTCCTGTTCAGAAGCTCGAGTTGGTGATACTTAAAAGGCTCCACTTTGTTGCCTATTAAATGCAAATAGAGCTGCAAGTCATGCGCTAACCCTCATGCTTGGGATAAGCCAAGCCGGTGTGGACAACTTCCAGCAGCACCCCAATGTGAGATACGAAACCCAGAGCGTTTCCCGGGAGCTTGGTAACCACATCCAAGGGATTTACCACGGTGAGGACTCGCAGCCTTTGCAACCCTCCGGCGCCACCTTGAACGCATGGTTGCCAACTTGAGGGCCACCAATTGCAAATGCGGTCACCGGGATCACCTTACCATTGGGAGCTGCGTTGACGCTCTCATTGACAATGTCGTAGGCACACAGGGTTGCGAGCGAAGCTCCCAAGCTATGGCCGGCCACCGTGATGCTCAGCTCTTCGTCCCTGTTTGCATCGATGAGAGCGTGAATTGTTTCCAAATTCCTCGCCTGGATAGGAATGGGTGTAGAGCCTGGATACATGGTCGGACACCAACACGGGCCGGCCGCCACTGACGGTTTGGCTGGATTCAGCCGAGGAAGGGCAAGAGTGCGTCGATCTCCGACCAGTCCCGAGTGAGCTTCATGCCCCGAAACGCAAGGAGTTGTCATTGGCAAGGTAGCCAGACCAGGCAGTGTGGGGCTCCTTGGTGGTACCTGTGTTGAAACGAGAGCGATCGTTATCTCTGGTGCTGCCATAGATGTACTTGTGGATCGTGTAGCCGGTTTTGTCCATCTGGAGGTTGGGGAATAGCTGTGACTTACCGTGAATGCACAGGCCATACCAGCGAGATGCCTTGACTTTGTTGAATCCATCCACCACGGATTGGACGAGCTGGCCGTAGCGGATCAGCTCTTGGCAGAGAGCTTCGTCAGCATGCCTTCCCAGAACGTCTGGCTTCCATTTGCTTGCCAGAGATGATGCGGATCGATTGATCTAAGACTGCGCCGGTAGTAAAAAACAGAGAGAATGGTCAGTGAGTTGCTTTTCAGGTTTCCCATGCCTTGGAAACAAAGATGAAAGGCCTGGTGATCCACACGAGCAAAGTTCAAAGGCAGAGCTTCCAGACATGCTGAAACTGGAATATAGCAGTAGTGGAATAAGAATACAAAGCAACGTGATCTTAAAACTTCAATCCATGAACTCAACTGTACTCTGGATCACTTGGAGAGACATTTGTCAGCTTGAAACACACCTTCCCCGTTTCCTCGTCCACACTGACATTCACATCCACACCTCGGACATACCACCACTTGGGCGGAACGATCGGGTCCACCAGCAGATCCGCAGACTTGTTCAGAAGCTCAAGCTGGTGATACTTGAAAGGCTCCACTTTGTTGCCAATCAGATGCAAGTAGAGCTGCAAGTCATGCACTGCAATATCCTCGGGTTTGTGCTTAAGATATGCCAAGCCGGTGTGGACAACTTCCAGCAGCACCCCAATGTGAGATACGAAACCCAGAGCATTTCCCGGGAGCTTGGTAACCAGATCCAAGGGATTTACCACGGTGAGGACTCGCAGGCTTTGCAACCCTTCCGCCGCCACCTTGAGCGCATAGTTGCCAACTTGGGGACCACCAATGGCAAATACGGTCACTGGGATCATCTTACCATTCGGAGCTGCGTTGACGCTCTCGTTTACAATGTCATAGGCACACAGGGTTGCGAGTGCAGCTCCCAAGCTATGCCCGGCCACAGTGATGCTCATCTCTCCGTCCCTGTTTGCGTCAATGAGGCCCCTGAGCGTGGAAACAATCTGATCCCGGACACAAGTCCTTCCAAACTCCTCGTCTGGATAGCAGTGAGTGTAGAGTGAGGCTACATGGTCGGATACCAACACGGGCGACGAGCTGCCGGCCGCCACTGCCGGTTTCGCTGGATACAGCCGAGGAAGGGGCAAGAGTGAGTCGATCTCCGACCACTCCCGAGAGAGCTCCATGCCTCGAAACGCAAGGAGGATGTCTCTTCGTCCCAGCCTCAAGCTTTCTTGGTCGTTGGACATGGCAAGGTAGCCAGACCATCCAGTGTGGGGCTCCCTGGTGGTACCAGTACCTGTGATGAGATGGGGGCGATCTCTGGTGCTGCCATAGATGTACTTGTGGATCGTGTAGCCGGTGTTGCCCATCTGGAGCTTGTGGAATAGCTGTGACTTGCCGTGAGTGCACAGGCCATACCAGCGAGATGCCTTGACTTCGTTGAATCCATCCACCACGCATTGGATGTGCTGGCCGTAGCGGATCAGCTCCTGGCAGAGTGTTTCGTCCATGGGATTCCCAAGCATGCCTTTCCAGAACGTCTGGCCTTGGACTAGCTTCCATTTGCTTGCCAGAGATGATGCGAGTCGATTGGCCATTGTATCCAAGCCACCTAGATCTAGGTGTTGATCTAGAGCGGCGAGACTGTTCACCCTGGTTGAATTTTCTTGCTCGAGTACCTAATGTAGATTAAACAATAATTCAGGACGTGTTGCTTTACAGGTTTGCCATGCTTTGAAGAGAGGCCACGCGAGTAAAGGTCAAAGAAGAGCGTCGTGGGAAAAGGAAAATCCCGATCGCAGAGCTTAAGAGCCACAAAGGTATGCCCTTATTTATGCATTGTGGTGCAGGAGACAACAGTCATCCCATGGGAATGCTTCAGACGCCGGACTTTAGAAATATTTCTTCTAGAATTGAACCTTCGGGGCCGAGCTCGGACACACCCCCGGGCTAGAAAGAAACTGATCACATTGTCGAACCTCTTGTTGGCTTCGTGGCCACGTCCCTCTGTCTCTTGGTTTCTGTGCTCCTCCATCAATCGCCTGGCCTTGCAAACGGTAGACTCTTCCTGCATCTTCATTCAAGGAGCAGCAGTTAAAAACTAGAACGCACATATCACACCCCGCATTCTCTTCCTCGCGAGCGAGTTCGTCCTCGTAGCCGCGCCAGAAACTTTAGTCCATGGACAAGCTTTTTTTGTTCTTCGTACATCATTTTTGAAAAGGGTTAAAAGAACTTACACTCAATGCTCCTTGTCTGGGAACAAAAAAGAAAAAAAAAGAAAGATCAAGAAGAGAGAGAGAAAGAGAAACCAAGCGAACCTAGCTCTACTAGTGAGCAGCACACCAAATGCGGGGCTGGATTACGAGCAAGATTCGCTGCTAACCTAGCATTCGTTCGAGCAAGCCGATAAACGGAGAGAGAGAGAGAGAGAGAGAGAGAGAGAGAGAGAGAACCCTCTGCGCTCTATGGCTGCGTTGCTTGTGCTTAGTGTGGTGGGCATTTGCGCGGCGCTACTCTGGAGGTTTGCGCGACCATGGAGGCGCTCGAGGAGAATAGAGGGGATACTAAAGCAGCAGGGGCTCAAGGGACCGCCGCCCGAGTTCTTGGCTGGCAACAGTGGCCAGCAATACCAGATGAGGATTGAGAACCAGGGCAAAGTGATGGAAACCTGTCACGACATTGTCGCTCATGTCACGCCCGAAGTTGTCTTGTGGTCGTCAAAGTATGGTAAGGCCGTGCTTTCTATACAGGCTTCCCTCTCTACAGAAAAAATGTGCCGCAGGAAAGCCATACTTGACAAGGTCCCTGGATGTTCCCGATGTCACATTCTTCGATCCCGACTGTGCTCGCGAGATCCTGTCCAGGCAGTTTGAAAACTTCCCCAAGTCGAGCCTGCAAGTTCAGGTCGTGGTTGACGTTGTAGGCCATGGAGTTCTCGGGCTGGAAGGCGGCCAGGAATGGTCTCAGCGGAGAAATGTGCTTTCTCCAGCATTTCATACGCTCAAGTTGAAGGTAGGCATAGATTTTACTTGTTTTTTCTGGAGTCTAGATAGAGATCACGGATTCCATTTCTAGGCAATGTATGCAAGGATTCGAGAGTGTTCTGAGAAACTGGTCGCCAAATGGAAGACTTGTGTTCCTCACGGACAAGCCGAGCTAGAAGTGTCACACGACTTGAAGAAGCTCGCCGCAGACCTCATTTCTCACGTTGCCTTTGGTGCCAACTATGAAAAAGGTGAGCAAGTCTTTCATGGGCTCACAGTGCTGGGTGATTTAGCACTCGAGGCCCAGAGCTACTTTTGGCTTCCACTCTTCAGGTATGCATTTTCCACCAATCGAAAGTCTGCTGACAAACAATCCTAAAATGGCAGTTACTACCCGTGCTCTCTCAATCGTAAGATTTGGAAGGTGAAGAGAGAGATTGACATGACCGTGATGAGCTTGATCCACGAACGGAGAAGAAGCTCCGGCAACTATGGAGATGATCTGCTGGGTTTGATCCTGGAGGAGAGCGACAAATCAACAGGGTTCAGTGACAAGGTGGTGGTGGACGAATGCAAGACGTTCTTTCTTGCCGGGCACGAAACAACCGGTAGCTTACTCGGGTGGACACTTTTTCTGCTCGCCCTCAACCCCGACTGGCAAAACCGAGCCCGAGCCGAGGTCCAAGAACACTTCAAGGAGAACTCCCAGGTTGGCGCTCTTGACAAGCTCAAGCTGGTATGTTTCTCACAGCCTTTTCGAATGCTCTTTAAAGTTCAACTTATAGGTGGGGATGATTCTTTACGAGACACTGAGGCTCTATCCAGCAGTGTCTGAAGTCCAGAGAGTAGCCTCCAAAGACACGGTTTTGGGAGGGATCAAAGTTCCCGAGGGCACGCAAGTCACCATTCCACTTCTCTGGATCCACCACGATCCAGAGCTGTGGGGAGCCGATGCAAATGAGTTCAACCCGGAGCGCTTTTCGCAAGGAGCTGCAAAGGCATCCAAGCACCCGAGTGCGTACATGCCTTTTGTCATGGGTCCTCGTGTTTGCATAGGGCAGACGTTGGCGTTGTTAGAGGCCAAAGTTGCCATTGCCACGCTGCTCTCCAACTTTGCATTTAGTCCTGCTTCGAGTTACAAGCACAGCCCCAGGATGCACGTTATCATCGACGCACCTCGAGGCATCCAGCTGGTTGTCCACAAGCTCAGCGAATAATAAAACACTGCTGGAACGTTCTTGTTTACTGGGGAACACATAAACGTACTGCTAGAAGTTGTCCATACCTTGCAGTTGATTTGCTCAATGTTATGAATGTCCAAATGAAGAAATTCAACCAAGCGTGCGTAAACTGCAAGAGTGACTACAGCTCTCTTAAGCTGCTCACAAGCTGTAAATTAGCTATTTCCAGGTTACAGCTCAAAACCTTTTTTAAGGTAGTTTTTAGTATTGACATGGCTGCAAGTGATTTACAATAATAATTTCATGTCCCACGAGCATCTCATGGGTTGAGATTCTCAAAAGATATTGTACGTTGCATATCTGTTTCCAATGTATTTTAATCCTTTTGGTCAAATATGAACTAATGCTGCTGTTGTTTCTCTTGTTCTTGTTTCACTATGTAAAACTTATATAAAAGTTAACATTTTAAATAGTGCAATGTGGTTTGTCACTTGTTGATCGTCAAGCTTGGACAATGACATACATTGGTCGCCCCACGAGATGCAAAGTAGATGTAAAGCCACATCATCTACAATTGCCTAACACCCCCATACTGAACTTCAACACATACAACTTCTTGGACTTCATGAGAGTTAGGATTGATGGCTTTTTATTAAATCTTGTTCTCTTTTGCCACATCAAAGTTTATATGGCAAAAGAGACAAGAAAATGTGGCAGGGCGAAAAAAGATAGTGTAACCAAGAGTTCATATATGTTAGTTGCAACCCAAAATACTGGCCACTTTACAAAAAACAAAATTTTTTAAGTGTATAAGAGGCTTATTTTTTGGCTTGGCTTGTGGCTTGTCCCTTGTCCCTGGCCAGCTTTAGAGAACTTGAGTGTTTGATTTCCCTCTTATGATGTTCTAGAGATTTTTGGTGGAACCTTTACATGATAATTTTAAAAAGTTAAAAGTTGTAGCTTTGGATGTGAGAATTTTAGAGAAAAATATCTATGATCATAGTTGAAAATGTTGATTAGACCCTTGAAATCATCTGTAGCTACTTGGAATTTCGGTACTAAAATTGAAATTGATAAAAAGTGAGGCAAAACAAATTTTTGGACAAGAAACAAAACAAAATATCACTATGTTTTAATTGTAACATGTGAGACAAAATTTATGATCATAATGAAATTAATGTTTATGAATGATTTTATTTTAGATTTAAATAAATATACGAAATTCAAGGTCATGCAAGACAAAATTCCCTACACTTAGAAATGTTTGCTTGCCAATACTTTGGGGTGAGCTCCCACGTATAAGTTTAACCCTTAGCCACACTGTCATTCCCCATTTTGCCACTTTTCTTGTTTTCTTTGCCACACAAGCTTTAACGTGGCAAAAAAGAAATAAGAGGTAGAGTGACAGGCCTGCTCTTCCCCTCCTTTCCCAATGACTACTGACAATGCCACCCTCACTAAAGAATGACATTTCTTTATTTTCTCCTTTCTTGCCACCATTAAAAGTCCCATGCTCTTGCCAGCTAATGAAAATTATATACACATGATTTATCTATTTATTTATCGTCTATCCCACGAGCATCTCATGAACCAACTTGAATATGAATCAATAAATATAAGACTCTCTTCTTGACCAACTTCAATAAAAATAAAGATATCTAGCATATCATGGGTCATTTTCAAAGGAAAAATCTGATCTACACTGCATCTGTCACTCTCAATGCAAATTAGATATGGTGCCCCATTCCCTTTCATACACTATAATCATGAATACCCACCCAGCTCCAGCTGGGAACTGCAAGACCCAGTATATTCATTCATTCATATATTGTTTACATGGTTTGGGATACCAAGAAGCATGAGACCAAAAGATTTAGAAATGAGTTTCAACAATTGTATATAATGCTACAAAGTACAAATATCACCTGTATTATTAAGAATACAATCTTTTAAAAAACCACAAGAGTGATATGGTGATGGAGAAGGTGGGCGATGAACTTGAAGTAACTAATTGGTTAACTGATCTCATGCTCCATACCCCATGCACAAGTGGATTGAAAACACAATGAGGTCTGCATACCTTGATAAATTTGGACTTCATCAGGAAATTTTTATTTAGAAAGAAAAAACAGGAGCAATGGAGCAGATGAATGCTTATGGAATCCAATGCTCCCTTATGATCACAGCTCTTTCTTTCCCACCACCACTGCATACTTGAAGGTGCCATTCTTGAATCCTTTGTCCATGTAGAAGAAGTGATAAGCCAATGACAGACTTGTCCGCATATGTGCCCACCCTGGAAAGCAAGAGATAAAAACAAGAAACCGAAGCTGTGACACGTAACAAGATCTTTACTTACCTGATGTCAAGAGCTTGAATGCACCTCCCAATGTAAAGAGTTGGCCCGTGAGTAATCCCCAGTATGGAAGCATGTGTCGAGTCCAATCTTCCACCTTTACTTCCTACAGATAAGATAATACATAAGATCAGCCATAGAGTCGAGAAACTTTGAAGAACCGGAAGTCTTACTTGCAAACCCGCATTGCGTGCTAATGTTTCGTACTCAGAAGTGGCGCACCAGGGTGGAAAGAAGTAAGCAGCGCAGATCTTATCCAAGAGCGCCTGCAGCCATATGTTATGACAATCTTTTTAAGAGATCAAGAAATATCTAGGAACTTCGCTTACTTGCTCATGCTTCTTGAGTGAAGTTTCTCCAGGCTTCAATTCTCTGTGGCACCAGCTCACAAGCACTACCCGACCTCCGGGCTTGGTCACGCGTGCCATCTCTTGCACAAGCTGCAATCGCGTGCGGGAATTTAAACAAACCCAGATGAAACGATTATGAATTCTTCTACCTTGAGTTTGTCCTCAATGTGCACTGCGCATTCCATGCACCAGACGAGATCAAACTGGCCGTCTTCGAACGGTTGATTCAGTGCATTTGCTACTTGGAACGTCACCTGTTCGTAAGTGTTAGAAACAGCCCCAAACAACGGAGTGGAATCTACCTTGTCTGAAACTCCTTCCGCCCTCGCGATGGCTTTGGCTCTGGCAATCTCGTAATCGCTCAGTGCTATTCCTTTCACATTTGCCGAGTACTTCTTGGACAGATATCGAGAAGTTCCCCCAAAACCGCAGCCCACGTCCAGTATGTCTCGAGGCCGGCTTTGCTCATCATCTAGGAGATTGTAATAGAATAGAAAGAGATACCATGATCAAAAGCTTACTTGGTACTCCGGCCCAAGAGAGGACCTCCTCGATCATTCGGACTTGTGCCACTCGAAAGTCCCCAGGCTTGCCCGCCTCAAAGTAGCCCGAGTGCATATGCTCGCCCCACACGGCCTCGTACACTACGCATCCCTCATCATAAAACTCTTCGATCTCGCCGGCCATTGCAAAAACAAAGACACTGGCGCTTACGGGAACTGCCGCTGCTGCAAGATCCTTCCCCCCTTCTTAGTGTAAGAAATAATGAATTATTATTGATGATTTGCTTTGTCAATTGTCATTTGTGATTGACCTTTATGAATCACAACAGATAATAAAGGAGGCAAGTATCCTGCTACTGGAACTAATTTTTATCTTTCTTTCCCATGACCACAGCATACTTGAAAACGCCACTCTTGAATCCTTTGTCCATGTAGGAGAAGTGATATGCCAAGGATATACTTGCACGAAGATGTGCCCATCCTGTTTACTCATTAGAGAAGTAAGACTCTTGCGAAAGTTTTCTATTACCTGATGTCAAAATCTTGAATGCACCTCTTAAGGTAAAGATTTCTGCAGTGAGCAGACCCCAAAATGGAAGCATGTGCCGTGTCCAGTCTTCCACATTTACCTCCTGACAACATTAATCATAGTAAACTCTAAATAATATATTAAAATTATAACACAGACCTGCAAACCTGAGTCGATTGCTATAATTTTATATTCAGATGTCGGGCACCAAGGTGGAAGAAGATATGCTGCGCGGATTTTGTCTAGAATCTTCTGCAAACACAAATCACAAATATTAACATATAACTTAACTCAACGTTTTCAGTCTGATTAAATCTATAACCAGCTCATGCTTCTTGAGTGAAGTCTCGCCATGGGTAAACTCTCGATGACACCATCCTGTGAGCACAACCCAGCCTCCAGGCTTGGCCACGCGCGTCATCTCTTGCATTAGCTGCTCAGACGAAGAAATAGTAACATATGAAGCTCAAACTCTATGAGAGTGTTTTACCTTGAGTTTATCTGCGATATGATCGGCACACTCCATGCACCAAACCAGATCATACTGGTTGTCTTCGAAGGGCAAACTCAAAGCGTCTGCCACTTGAAATGCCACCTGAATGAACCAAGAAAATGCTTTTGATTCGTGTGACGGTAGAGCAATACCTTGTCACAAACACCCTCCGCCTTTGTAATGGCTCTGGCTCTGGCAATCTCGTACTCACTCAATGCTATTCCTGTGACATTCGCGGAGTACTTATTGGATAGATACCGAGATGTCCCTCCAAATCCACAGCCGACATCCAGAATGTTCCTTGGCCGGCTTTGGTCATCGCCTAGATTCACACATTGTAAAAGGGTGTGTCTCGGAGCAATCGAAATGCTTACCCGGTACTCCTGCCCAGGCCAAGAGCTCCTCGAGCATTCGGATTTGTGCCACTCGAAAGTCGCGAGTGTTGTCAGCATCGAAGTAACCTGAATGCATATGCTCACCCCACACTGCTTCATACACCACACATCCTTCATCGTAAAACACTTCAAGCTCCTGGGTCTCCACAGCCATTGTAATAGAATTTAGAAATATACCTAGGTAGTAAAAGAAACTTGCCAAAGATTAAAGAAACTCTCTTACTAAACGTATGATCCAGATAGAAAACGTGGGAGGAAGATTGTTGTTTGAGGAACCATAGCCCGAGAGCTCAGAGATGGGCGAATCGGCACCACCACCCGGCCTCAAGTTGATGGACTCTGAGGAGTTTCGGGAGCATGCCCACCGAATGGTGGATTTTGTGGCCGACTACTATCGCCACATTGAGAAGTTTCCGGTCAGAAGCCAAGTTAGTGTAAGTTTCACGTTTCTCTCCGGTTCCTCCTCCCTCGTCACTACTCACTTGTACTCTGTCTACAGCCAGGATACTTGAATGATTTAATCCCCGCATTTGCACCTCAAGATCCAGAGTCCTTCGATGACATTCTTGCTGGTTGGTACTCCCGTCTATATCATCGAATCTCTCATGAAATCTGGCAATGTGGCTGTTTAGATGTGAGCAACATCATCATTCCCGGCCTCACGCACTGGCAGAGCCCGAGCTTCTTCAGCTACTATCCGGCAAACAGTAGCACCGCCGGCATTCTAGCCGAGATCCTCATCTCCGGCTTCAATACCGTCAACTTCAGCTGGATCGCCTCACCCGCGGCCACGGAGCTGGAGATTATTGTCGTAAACTGGCTGGGAAAGCTTCTCGAGCTGCCAGACTCCTTCCTCTCGGGATCATCAGGTCTATCACACACTGCCAAGTCTCGACTTACGTATTGCTTGTTTTACTTTCTAGGCAATGGCAAAGGCGGGGGCGTCATCCAAGGCTCAGCGACCGAGGGAATGCTTGTCACACTGTGTGCCGCCCGGAGTCGAGCCATTTCGAAGCACACGGCAAATGGGCTTGTAGAGGAAGACGTGGTGCGCAGACTCCGAGCGTACACGTCGGATCAGACTCACATGTGCTTGCACAAGGCCTGTAAGATTGCAGGCATCAAGCTGGTGGTGCTGCCCACAACCAAGGAAACAAACTACGCACTCTCGCCTGCTCTCCTGCGTGGAGCTATTGAGGAAGGCGGGGATGATGTCATACCACTGTATCTGGGTGCCACGGTACTGTGATACGTGGGTCTTTTGCATCTTTACATAATGCTCTTATTGCAGCTTGGTACCACGTCTTCCGCCGCTGTAGATCCATTGCTAGAGCTCGGTGAAATTGCTCAGGTAATCTGGCATTTCCAACGTTGTTTGCTTGTTGCTTGCTTTGATAATCGATCCATTTGCCAGGAATATGAAATGTGGTTTCACGTAGATGCCGCATACGGAGGCAGTGCGTGCATATGCCCCGAGTATAGGCATTTCTTGGATGGCATCGAGAAGGCTGATTCACTCAATGTTGGAACTCACAAATGGCTCCTGACAAATCTAGATTGCTCCGTATTATGGGTCAAGGTATTGTTGCTAAGTTATTCCCATTTCTTACTAAAGTATATTGTGTTATATTAAAGAATGCAAGGACCTTGACTTCAACGCTTTCGGTCCAGTCAGAATATCTTCGTAACAAGGTGTGGAGTAAATATTAGTTAATTATCATTTTGTTTATTTAGTACAGGCATCTGAGGCGGGGGAAGTCGTGGATTTCAAGGACTGGCAAGTATCACTCGGAAAAAGATTCAGGTTGTTGCTTTGTTTATGTTTTAATTGTTGCCACATATCATGGTCTGTTTCTTTCTAGAGCTCTGAAGTTGTGGCTTGTCATGCGACTTTATGGCTCCTCCAAACTTAAAAACTATATCATACATCATACTTGCCTAGCTAGGCTTTTCGAGAGAAAAGTCACTGAAGACAAACGTTTCGAGGTTCGTGAAATTCAACTTCTTAAATTTGAATTCAGTATAGCAAAGAAGTTTGTATTGCAGATTTTAGTGCCTTGCAGATTTGGACTTGTTTGCTTCAGGCTCAAAGCAATTGAGGCCAGTTCCGTAAATGCTCTGAATGAAAATTTACTTCACGCAGTGAATTCAAACGAAACAACATTCATCACACATACAGTAAGTTTCTAAATGCATCATGCCACCATGTAATGACCCAAACACCTGAAAAACAGGTGCTCTCGGGAGATTTTTTGTTGCGAATGGCCGTTGGAGGTACTTTAACTGAGGCCAAGCATGTTATTAAGGCTTGGGAGACTATCCAGAAAAAAGCCACACAACTTCTGAGCTCCAAATAATTATTTCCAGTTGATTCTATTATTGTTGTGTTAAACTCATAATAATAATAATAATAACAACAAAAACAACAACAATTGTCATTATACCAAACTAAACTCTCAAGCCCAATTAGCAAAGTGATTGGCTAGGTGGATCAGCGGCAGTGCCTTGGTCTCCTCGAACACACCCAATCGTTCCTTGGCCTCCACCAAGAGCTCCCCAACCATCTCCCTCGACTTGTCCACTCCCAAGATGGTGGAATACGTGCTCTTGCCCGCCATCGCGTCCTGGCCCGGGATCTTCCCGAGCTCCTCCATTGTCTTGGTAGCGTCCGCGACATCATCCACGATCTGGTAGAGAAGCCCGGTCACCCGTCCATACGCTCTCAGCGCCTCAATCTCCTGCTCGCTCGCGCCACCGGCAATGGCCCCGGCCACCAACGACGCCTCGAGCAGCGCCGACGTCTTGTGGAGGTGGACGAACTCGAGCGTTTCCAGCTCCACCGCGCGGTCCGGGTTCTCGATGCCCAGGTCCACGGCTTGACCGGCCAGCAGACCCGTTGACCCGATAGCCCGGCTCACCTCCGCCACCATCCTCGCCGCCGTATCGCCGCTGTAGCGCGCCGCCAGGTGCTCGAAGCCGAGTGCGAGCAGCGCGGTTCCCGCGAAGAGCGCCGTGGGGATGCCAAACGCGCGGTGGACGGTGGGCTTGCCGTGGCGGAGCTCCGAGTCGTCGATGGACGGGAGATCGTCCTGGACGCAGAAGCTGGCCTTGATCATCTCAAGCGCGCAGGCTCCCGGCATGGCGTCGTCCTGGGTGCCGCCCACTAGCTCGCACGCCGCGATGCAAGCGATGGGGCACGTCCGCCGCCCGCCGCCCACCGCGTAGCGCATTGCCTCGTGCATCTTGAGCGTCTCGGGCTGCTTGAGCGGCGGGGGGAAAGCGCGGTGGAGGGAGATGGACACGGCCTCGCGCTTGGTCTTGACATAGAGATCGTAGTCGAACTTGCTGGACTTGGTGGTGGTGGTGGTGCCAGGGGCGGCGCTGGCGGCGACGCGGCGGTAGTGGATTCTCGGAGGGAGGACGAGGCCATTGATCTGCTGGTTCATGCTTGAGACTTTCCTGCTTAGCTTTGATGTTGAGTAGTGACTGACCTTTCGTGCCAACACAAGTCTGGACTGTTCCATCACGTGCCAAGGTATTCTTGAAGGTTACATTCAAAATATTCGTTTCTGTCACGTGCCAAGGTATTCTTGCCAGATAAAAAATATTTGAAGGTTACGTTGAATATATTCAAAATATTCGTGTATTTTGGTCAATCCTGTACTCTATGAGAGGAAGAGTGAAAGAAGAGCGCAAACACAATTCAGAAATATTAAAACCTGTGCTGTTCTTGGGTCTTGATTCATTTCTGCAAGATAACGTCCGTTTCCTCGCTTGTGAGCTAGGATCACCAATTCTTCAACAATTTCAGACAGGAAGAGCTTTCCTGTCCATAAGATATAAGAATTGATCGCTTACGCCTGTACAAGCCAAACGAAAACAAGTTCGAAGTGACACGACCATGCTCGTACAAGCGACACGGAAAAGAAGTAAAGCTCTCGTCCGGAAAAAGAGTTAGATTTGCAAGGACCCCTAAAGTACAAATCTAAGATTTGGAGGGTGAGTGACCGACGCCGCTTCCCTTCATTTATTGTTCCGTCGCATTCAGGTCCCGTTCTTTCGTAGCGTAATGATCATTTTGAACTTTAAGAACGATAAAACGAAAATGCTCGAAATGGAATTTCTGCCACAAAGCGAGATAGATAGATAGATGTTTTTATAATCACTGCAGCAGTCATGTGGAAGTCCAGCTGTGGGCTGGGTGGGCATCTGAATAGCATGTGGGATGTCTTCGGCTTCTAGCCTGCATAGTGGGCAAAGTCGGTGATATGAAGAAATATGAAAGATATGGAAGAGATATGCAAGATATGGGAGGATTTGCTGCCTGCTTCATTACATGCACTACAACTTTTTGACATTGTGACAATCAACATTATTGTTCGCTTCTACAGTGACTACAGCTGAAATATTTTTTTTTTACAGCAGTCGAACTATGACGGAGCAGTGCTGGCGGGCGACGCGTTCGTATTGAACTCTTCAATGTGCCGGTTCATCTTCCAAGCTTAAAACTTTGCTACTGGTGTAAACACAATTAAGAAATATTAGAACCTGTGGTGTTCCTGGATGTCAATTCTTTTGGCAGAAAGTCCACGAAATAACGTCTAGCATTTTCCTTTCCTCACTTCTTTATACTTGTGAGCTAAGATTGCCAAATCTCCAACGTTTACAGACGGGAGAGTGCTGGTCCTTCATAAGATACGATACGCGAATTTTCCTGGTCTCTTTACACAAGCCCAACAAAAATAAGTTGGAAGTGCCCAGAATTCCCGACCAGCTTTCGAGCATACCGTTGTACAGCCGCATGGAAAACAAGTAAATGCTCTCATCCGGAAAGGGAGTTGAAACCGATAGCTTGATCCGGGGGTGTCCAAGCCATGCTTCCTTTGCATATGTCCAACCGGCTTCATCAGATAAGAGTGAAGAGTTTGAAGAAGGCTTTCCGAACCTCGCATTTGATGCCACTCGTAGACGTGCTCCTTCCTGCAGCAACTCAAGATGAAAAAACGTTTAAAAAAAGAAAAATAACATTCAAGAAGAAAAAGAGAGCAAAACGAACAAAAATGAAAACTTGCCTGGATCTTAACTTGGAAACTATCGACAAGCAAGTGGTATGAAACTATCTACAAGTAAAGCTTTGAATAGCGTTCATGATCTGCGTGGTGGTGCCTCTCAAGAACATCTGTTTTGTCACTCGAGACAAGAGTTGGAGATAAGCATCAAAACAGAAGAGTGGAGTTTTTTTAATCGAGCGAACCTGGCATTTGATCACTGGCACACCAGCTCCTGCAGCAACTCAAGGTGGAAAAAAAAAAAAAAAACAATGAAACAGGAAAAGAAAGAAAAGCAAACATGGCAGCTTTCTCCTTTTTTTTCTTGGTTTTGAGTAATATTACACCCTGCCCAATCTATGCCCGTAGAAGTAGCTGCGGTCGCGCGCCTTTTCAAATCCTAGGGCTCCAAGAACCCTAATGAAGTGAGAACGAAACATTGGATTGGAGAATCATTTAGAGCGCTTCGAGCCCACCACAAATCTTATCTTAGCTGCGGATCTCACCCCCAGGTATGTGAAAGATCTCAACGATGGCGGACAGGAATTTCAGCTCCTCGGCGCTGCTCGGCGCTGCTCTCCACCAGGCTCCTGCTTGGCCGCAGGAGCCTAGGGTTTGGATTCAAGGCGCTGAATCCTTTGGCCTGGGGCGATCGTCGCGCAGGAATGTGGCGATTTGCAGCATTGGAATCGCGGAGGTATCAACAGATGCGATCAAGAATGTGGTGCAGGAGGACGATGCCGCAAAGGACTTGAGCTCTTGGATTCGTTTTCCAGGCTCCCCGATAGCTCGCAGGTGGGGGTTTTGGGAGGATCGCTGCTGTGATGGAATGGATTTACCTCACTGCCAAGCCGGGAGTTTTTCGGTGCTATGGATGCGTACTTCCTAGTTCCAGTCCATGGATCGAGCTCTGGGGCGCGGTCTCAAGAGAAGCGATTTCGTCATGGGTCAGAAGCTGGGAGAGGGATCGTTTGGCACAGTTTACGCTGGAGCAATTCTTCCCAAGGATTTTCATCAAGAGCAAGGGATTGGAAAGCGCTCGCGGCGGCTCGAGGAGCACCAGGGGTTCCAGAAAGTCACACTCAAGAAGGTGAGCGTTTCTCTTCTCTTGGAGCTTTGGTTACAAGCTTTTCTCACAGTTTGCCAGGTGAAGATGGACGTCGAGGGAGCGCTCGAGAGCGGAGAGATGGAGGAAGGGTGTAACTATCGCATGGCTCGCGCTGCCCTGGACGTGTGCGCGGATTTTCTCGGGAGCTTTGTGGCCGATTCTACTCGAGGACGATTTGTCGAGGGTGGTAAATTGCTCGTCTGGAAGTACGAGGTGAGCTTCGTGTTTTTTCTCTCTTTTTCTTTTTGTTGTTCTTTCTGAGGAGAGTTGATCTTTTCTAGGGAGATTCAACTCTCGCGGACTTCATGAAGGACAGGAGGTTTCCAAAGAATCTAGCAGAGCCTTTGCTCGGTCGCTCGAGGGAGAAAGATCCACTCAAACGCAAGGCGTTGATGATCAGGAGAATACTGCGAGAGATCCTTGCCGCGCTCAAGAAAATGCACGCTACTGGGATCGTCCACCGCGACGTCAGGCCGGCGAATCTGGTGGTGACCAACAAGGCGGAGCTCAAGTTCATAGACTTCGGTCTGATCTCCGCGTGGGAAGAAATTATGTGCCCGAGCGAGGGATGCTGGATCCCGACCACTTCCCGCCGGAGCTGTTCGTGATGCCGGAGGAAACTCCTCGGCCTCCGCCAGCTCCCATCGCCGTGCTGCTCTCTCCAATCCTCTCGCATGTAAGTCGAGAACTTTTTCTTTGTATGTTTTCATGGTTGTTCTTCCTCTTGCAGCTAAGCAGAACAGATCGGTCATCTTCATATTGTAAATATATAAATATACATACAAAATTTATAATATGTACAGTAAATATTTAATGTAAATATAGTTACTCCCATGGCTTGCTCGAAACTAATGCATACAGTTTCTTCAGATGTGAGTACCTTGATCCACCATTTCCTGAACATGTATTTATGTCGTTTTAATTCATTTTAATTTGTTTAGCTCTTCAAGGATAGGTGGATATCTCATGGATTATGGTACATTCAACTTATCGGTACACAAACGGGTCACTTGTTGGTGTTAGTCGTTTGTGTCAGTTGTTGGTGTTAGTCATTGACGCTGGTACAAAGCTGATAGGGCTACTCATGACGACACTAGGGTGGAAAGCAAGAAGTTCGAAATGACATTTAAGTACAAGTAGAAGCATTTCTGGAGAAACGTCACTATGATTTTTCTGCAGAAATTACCCCTGGCGAACCATTTAACCGTTTGAACAGAGCTGGTCACTGACGAGAATCGAGCAATGGTGGCTCAGAGCACTTCACTTGCTCCTCGGCCTCTTCAAGCTGCTCCGGTTGACAAGAATGGTGGCCTTGCGTGTGTTCCACTGGAGCTCTACGCTTGAATTATCTACATGACTTTGTTTCCTGTGCCCGTGAAGCATATGCGTGAACAACTGACGCTGTGGAAGTCAGTGTTTCTGACTTCCAAAACAAGAAAAACATTTTGCCAGAAGTGGAAAGATTTCCAAAGATTTCTTGATAGTGGAGCCCTTTGACAGACTGGTCACATGTTTGATCGATTTAAGATAGAGCTAACACAATTAGGAAAAGTTGTTGTCCAATCACATCCAGTAGTGCCTGCCATTCCCCATGCCTCCTGCTCTTGTGGCTGTGACGTACAGCCAAGCTTGTCGATGCCCCGTGAAGCACGTGTGTGACCGATTAACGCTCATTCACAAGGGCACGGCACCACAAGATTCAAAACAGCATTAGATAGAGAGAAAACTTTTGCTGGCCAGAGATGCAGAAGACTCGTGAAAGTGGAAAACTTCCTGGTGACAAGCTTGATCGAAGTAAGATAGAGCCAACACAATTCCAATCGTGAAACGTGCCTGCCCTCCAGCTTCTAGTGATGAATTAGAGAGTGACCTCCTTGTGGTGTTGCGCCAACAAGTTGGAATAGTATCAAAATTAAGTAATTGTTGTGTTCCACTTTAACTGGATCAAAAGAAGAATTGAGGAAGTAACTGTAAGCATATGTTTCCTCAAAGTATCCCAGAAGTCAAGGTCTATATATCTACAAAATCCTATTACAAACACATAAAATAAAATTGATTCACTATTAAAAAGGTTTAAAAGTGGGCACTCAATTTCTGGAAAAGGAAATTGATTATTATCGGATACGCTGCAAAGTATATTCTACATGGTCTTCAAACCGTAAATTAGAGTCGATTAAATAACCACTAACCCCCATCGGATGGCTGCCATTGGCTAGATCCGGCTGTCCATCTGATTAAACTCCCATGCTTTGCTTTTTTTCGCCACATCCATTTATGCAGGCAATTTGACAATTAACCTACTAACATCTTGCTAGCACTTTGTTTGGATTTAATACACGAAAAATCAAATTATCCTAAGAGTTTGAAGAAACAGGAACTTTAAGCAGCGCAGCAGCACAGGCTAGGTACTATGGACGTAATCTGCAAATTCAGATTCAGGAGATGTTTTTTAAGTCGAATGAAAATACAAAGCAGCTTGATCATAAAAGTCCATTATTAACTCAACTGAACTCTGGATCATTTGCAGAAACATTGGTCAGCTTGAAACATAATTTTCCTGTTTCCTCTTCTACGGTGACATCCATGTCCACACTTCGGGTATTCCACCATTTGGGTGGAACAATTGGGTTAGCCAGCAGATCTGCACACTTGTTCAGAAGTTCAAGTTGGTGATACTTAAAGGGCTCCACTCTGTTGCCTACGAGATGCAAATAGAGCTGTAAGGTATGCAGTGCCTGATCATCAGGTTTGTGCTTCAGATAAGTCAAGCCTGTGTGGACAACTTCCAGCAGCACCCCAACGTGAGATACGTAGCCCAGAGTGCTTCCCGGAAGCTTGGTAACCACATCGAAGGGATTAACCACGGTGAGGACTCGGAGGCTCTGCAACCTTTCTGCCGCCACCTTGAACGCATGGTTGCCAACTTGAGGACCACCAAGGGCAAATGCGGTCACCGGGATCAGCTTATCATTGGGAGCTGCGTTGACGCTCTCGTTGACAATGTCGTAGGCACATAGGGTCGCGAGCGAAGCTCCAAGGCTATGGCCGGCTACCGTGATGCCCAATTCTTGGTCCCTGTTCGCATCAATGAGGCTCCTGAGCGTGGAAACTATCTGATCACGGGCAGAGGTCTTTCCAAACTCCTCACCTGGATAGGAATGGGTGTAGAGTGTGGATACATGGTCGGACACCAACACGGGCGAGGGGCTTCCGGCCGCCACTGACGGTTTGGCTGGATTCAGCCGAGGAAGGGGCAAGAGCGAGTCGATCTCCGACCATTCCCGAGTGAGCTCCATGCCCCGAAACGCAAGGAGGATGTCTCTTCGTCCCAGCCTCAAGCTTTCTTCGTCATTGGACATGGCCAGGTAGCCAGACCAGGCAGTGTGGGGCTCCTTGGTGATGTGATCTGTATCTTTGGTGCTGCCATAGATGTACTTGTGTATCGTGTAGCCGGTGTTGCCCATCTGGAGCTTGTGGAATAGCTGTGACTTGCCGTGAATGCACAGGCCATACCAGCGAGATGCCGTGACTTCGTTGAATCCATCCACCACGCATTGGATGTGCTGGCCGTAGCGGATCAGCTCCTGGCAGAGAGTTTCGTCCATGGGAGTCCCAAGCATGCCTTTCCAGAATGTCTGGCCTTGGACTAGCTTCCATTTCCCTGCTAGAGATGGTGCCGATGGATTGGCCATTGTATCCAGAGCCACCTAGAACTAGAACCCAAATGAAGGGAGAAAGACTTCAGAGTATGATAGTACTTTTAGGTTTGCCAAATTGCCATGCTTTCCACGCGAATAAAGGTCAAGAAGAACGTCGCATTCTGAAGAGCCACGAAGATATGCCCACTCTTGGCTTCTGTCAGTGCAGCGGGCGAGAATGCTTGCTGCTGGACAAATTGGCAGAAAAAGTTTTGACAACGTGGCTATTGGGAACAAAAAAAGAATAAAATATAAAGAATAAAAAAACCAAAAGACAGATCGAGCTCCAAAGGCATCCAAGCATCCAGAGTACGTACATGACTTTTGTCATAGGTCCTTGAGTTTGCATAGGGCAGAAGTTGGTGGTGTTAGAGGCCAAAGTTGCCATTGCTACTCTCCAATTTTGCATTTAATCCTGCTTCGAGTTACAAGCACAGCCCCAGGATGCACGTTATCATCAGTGCACCTTGAGGCATCCAGATGGTTGTCCACAAACTGAGTGAATAATAAACAAAGGTGAAAGCTTGTGTACTCTCTGGAAAGACAAGCAATGAGGAAACACACATATGTATCTTGAAAGGCCCATACTCTTGACAAACGTTGTCCTTTTTTAGTATTGCATTCCACCAGCATGTGATTTACAGTAACATAATATTCTCATGAGCAGGGAAGTTGAAAACTGTTTGTTGTGAATTATGAGAAATTTTGTAGTTTGTCCATATCAATTTTGCATTTTTTACTATGTTTTAACAAGTATTTTTAGGAATGAATCTACTCAATGGTTTAGAGAGTGGTTTATCAATTTGGATATGCTCACCTTGTATTTATATGTTTGTTACTAATCATGTCAAAATCCTTTTGACTTTATCCACTTTTGGATAGATGGTTTTTTCACATTTTTAACTTTTTGCAACTTTGGATAGCACTTATTATTCATTTAGTCCCTTAGGTCTTATTTAATACCCTCATAATATTAAACATATTTTTTTTTAGTGTTTTACAGTGTTTATATGTTTCACTAATAAACTTTTCAGACAATGAATATTTCCTATTATGGCACTTATTAGAACATCAAGAAATTATCCTTTAAGGGATGTATCTAACCTCCTTTTTATCTCAACAAAAAGCCTTAAGAAGTTAATTCTCACTATTCCAACCAATTATTCCAAAACCTTTTCTTAGTTGTTTCATAGTTAGTATATTCTATAACCCATTGTTAGTGCTTCTATACTTCCATCAATATTTAATCAAAACACACAAATCTTATGCCTTCCAACTTATATTATGTCAATCCTAATTCCATTAGGATTTTTTTAGCAAAAGGTTTTTATGAACTAACCAACTTGATCTCGAAGGCATTTTTCCTTAAAATATTTGGTGTCTCCATACTATTGGTTTTATAAGTTTATCCTCATGACACATTTCACTTGTGTTTATATCTTTTGCCAAGACTATACTTGTCATTTTTTATATTAATTATTGGTTAATACATCGTTCACCTATAATTCTTTGCATAAGTTATTTTCTTTTATAAGCACATTTTCACAAATTCAATATGACACTTTTTGCCATCAATAAGGTACTCACTGTTCTCATACTTCAATCTCATAGTCCTCTTAGTGCTTGATTAAACCAAACATACCTTATTATAAAAGTGTTTTATTCAAGTCTTTAAGACCATTCTTTGACTCTATTGAGTTATTCAGCTTTTGGACTTTATTAATTCATTTATAAGGTCTTAGCCTTATGGCTAATTCTGATGTAGGTACTTGCACATCATTAAGGTAATATTACATTTGAATACAACTTCTTATATTTATGTCTTATTTATAAAGATCATTTTTGCAAGTATTACCTTAACACTTGATTATGCCTTGTTCCACGTGGGCTACCTTTACCCTTTAAAATTGTCATTCCACATCATGAAAATGCCAATTCATCATTTAAGTACACTCCCAACTCTTTGTATTATTCTACCATTTATTAAGGGTAGCCTCAACTACCATTTCAAAGATATATATCCTTATCTGTATTTAACTTCCCACGGTCATCAAATTTAGTCTCAAATTCTTAAGCACTATTTTTAACTATTTGAGTATAGATTTATGACTCCTTTATTGTCTAAGAGTTTTTATCATTCCCATGATCCTAACTATAGTTGTTTATTATAATCACATTAGCCAATTTTCTAAATCAAACATTATCCTCAACTCTTTAAGAATTTTTTTTTACTATTCCCAAGATCTTAAAGTCATTCCCTTATTGTCTCCCTTTCTATCCACTTGTTCATATATAAACTAAAGTGGAGAACTATCGCGAATGTGACTTTGGGTATTGAAAGTTGTCAGCTAATCCTTACGGACACTTTTTCCTTACTGCCATGATGGCAGGAGGTCGATGTTGCTGGACCCTTTATTAATCCCTTTTGTTCAAGTGTTAATAAACTGGACTTAGCATCTGTACTTGGCCGGATGAGCATAAGGATGGAATTCTTAAGTGTTTATTTGGCCAAGTATACTTGGCTCGGCTTTTTAGTTCTCTTTTGCTTTGTCTTGCACTGGCTTGGCAAGAACCCTCGCATATTGAGACTAATCCCTCAATATCGCTGGATGATAACTTACCGTGTCTGCTAAACACCCTCGCTATCATGCCCCTTATGTTAGTCTCAATTCGGTCCCAAATACTAATTATGGAAAGTGTCTAGATTTGCTCATTTTGCATATCTACAGAATGTAGAGATCGGCCTGAACACAATGGTGTTTGTCCCGTGTCCAAATTCACAATCTAGCATCATTCCATATTTAGTAAGTTTCAAGCTTGTCCCAAAGACTAACTCTTGATACTAAGGGAGGCTTGGGGTGAAAGCCCAAAGCATATGTTCCTCAAGGGGGAGGGGATATGGGGGGTTCCAAATGTATAGTAGGGATAGTGGGTAAGTTGGGCATGGCTGACCAACTTGAGGCATAGTCTAGCTCTCGCTTGCATGCTTGTCCTTGTTCTGCGTCTGGTTTAGGTCTAAGCCCAAACTCCATACCATGCTAGCTGGTGGAGTACCCATATCCTCACATTAGGCCACTGGTATGCCAAAATAATGCCAGACTCTGTTTGGCTTTGTTTTGCGTGCTAGTCCTGGCAATAGGATGTTGGTTGCTCTAGGATTGTTCCAAGTCGCTATGGGCTCCTGTCCCTTCGCTCCTTGGGCTACATGCTCTAGAGTTGCTCCGTGGTTCGGTTTCGTCACTCCTTAGCTCTATGCTTGGGAGTTAGGCGTTGTTCCTTCGTTCAGTGGCCCAAGGCCCTGAACCTCGGGTTCCACTGCTGGACACATGGTATGTGTCACATGGGATAAAGAGGGTTTAGGTTCCACTTTGTGGTGTTATCCTATGGTAAATCACCATAGGATAAAGGTCAAAACCACGTGCGCTATATTTGGTATCAGAGGATACATCTCAGTGAGTACTATTCAATGGGATTGGGCAACTAGTCTCGTTGCATATGCAGAGATGAAAACAATGATCCGAGTGGGTACACGTTAGGGTGCAAAGGCTTCGCAAATGTTCCTTGGGTATGGATTTAATTACCTTTTTGTTCCATAATAATGTGAGCTTGCTCTTGGGCTCATAAGAGGGATTGAGTTGTTCCGTTTGCACGAGTTTGCACTTGGGCTTATGAGTGAGGCGTGTTACCAACTCAAGGTTACACTTTGAGTTAGCAGGATTAATGTTAGCTTATTGGTGGTTCCATAAGTTGTTCTAATGGTTCCGTGAGTTGTTCCATGTACCATGGGTAAAAGTAAACCTTCCCTGGGTTTGCTGTAAGTGACAAATAGGCTGGTTTGTAGCTCTTTAGCACAACACTAGTGGATCCTTCCTAGGCATGATTACTAATGGATCAATCAAGACTATAGGGATGAGTCTATTGATTCAAGTACTCATTGCCATGCTCTCTTATAAACTTTTCTTGGATTGGACTGAAGGCAGTGCGAAAGCAAGTTTGAGGTTTGGTCAAAAGATAAGACCGAAAAAAGAGTCGTCAGGGATGAAGGATCAAATACGTAAATCATTTTTTCTTCTTGGAGAGATGATTCGTAACGAGGTGCTAACTCATTGCTCGTGTTCACATCATGCAATCAAGAGTCCCTATCTTGATGCATGTTGGAAATGATGGTTTTGCAAGTGGTAAGTTGTGGAATGGTTAGCGATGAAGCGCTAAACCATTTTGTCTAGACTTGCTATTGAAGACTTGAGTTGCAATGCTCAATTCTTTTCCAGGAAACCTTGCTATTGCTCCTTGAATAATTTGGTGTTGGATTAGTTTTGAGATTGGTCGAAAAAGAGAGTAGCATGAGCTTGTTCGTGTTGTGAACAAAAGTTAGTGGTGTTGGGTGTTGTAAGTCTCTATTGGTAGAGTGTGATATTTATGTCGCATTTTGTCGAATCGAGTTGACACTTGATACTCACATAAACTTTTGTAGTAGTGACATAGGCATTGCTCATAGTGTTGCTTGGGAATACCCTTCCCCAATATCCCTTTTACAATCCCCACCAAGTCCCTTTATTGTCCCTAGCTGTGTTCGCTAACATTGCCACTGGGACAAGACCCACAGACCCGACCACTAAGTCCCATTGTCTTCTAGGACTTCCTCACCACATGACCATATCCTTGGTCACTACACTAAAGGGTTATTTTTCTTCCTTACCACCATCCAGGACTTTGGGACAACATTTCAGAACACTATGGCCCTACACGAGCCTTGTGGGTACTTTCCCCGCCTTCCACCTTTGGGTGCTCTAGCCACAAGCTTAAAGCAAGGTTCCATTGAGCCATGCCAGGTATCCAAATAGGTAGTGCCACCCATACTTGGACTGGAAGCATCGATCATTCGATCTCCCAGGGGAACTAGAGCCAGCTCTTGAACACTTCACCAAGCTACCCCGCTTGTTGGTCTATATTCACTCTAGTACTTCTCGAGAGAGTTAAAGCCAACTCTTGAA